TATTTTATTTTTTAAAGATTTTATTTATTTATTTATTTGGGAGAGTCGGAGATAGCAACAGAGAGATGACTGTGAGAGGGAGAAGCAGGCTTCCCACCGAGCAGGGAGCCCAACCTGGGGCTCGATCCCAGGACCCTGGGATCATGACCTGAGCCGAAGGCAGATACTTAACCGACTGAGCCACCCAGGCGCCCTTATTTATTTTAGAGAAAGGGAGAGAGAGCAGGGAGAGGGGCAGAGGGAGCAGCAGACTCCCCACTGAGCCCGGTGCCCGACGCAGGGCTCGATCACATGACCCCTGAGACCACGACCTGTGCTGAAATCCGACGATGCTCAACCAACTAAGCCACCCAGGTGTTACTGAAAATTTTTGGCTCCTGGAGCTCCCCCAGCCCAAGCCCGGCTGAGCAGTAATGCTGGATGTCAGCCCCTCAGCTTCCCACCAGAAGGCCACGTGAGGCTCTGGGTGGAGAGGGAACCCTCTGGACAGACGAGTTCACACCCTGCTTGGGTAAGTCCCTTTCCCGGAACCTCGATTTTTAACTCTGGAAAATGGAAGAACAAGTTTTCGGTGACAGCTGAGTGAGCTCAGGAGCGTTAAGCAGCTGTACAAAGTAGGCATTTCATAGACGTTTATTACACTGAGATAGAGACTTAGGCAAGACCTGCTTCCAGGGGATGGACTGAGATCTGGGCTCAGAGCCGGTGGTCCCTGAGGAGGTTCTGGGACGGCTTCCCGGAGGAGGAAGGCACCCTCAGGGCTGGGTCTCAGAGGCTGAGGCATTCGCCAAAACTACCCCAGGAGGGTGTAAAAGCAGGAGCTAAAGCCGGGAGGTAGGAGGAGAGGCGAGGGCAGGTGGGACCGCCACCTCAATGGGTCCCTCTGCCTGTCCGCCAGGGCACTCAGAAGTACACAGAGCCCTCGAAATCTCCTTGCTCATCGAACTTCTGGATCTGCATCTTGAGGTGCCTCAGTTTGCCCTTCAGGTAGTGGCAGCGAGCCTGCTTGTCCAGGAAGCTGGGGTCCTGGGCAAGGCAAGACCCAGGAAAGTCCTTGTGGCACTCTGGTCTTTGGCCCTCAGCGGCTCAACCCTGTGCCCCTTTCTCTCTGGGCCTCAGTTTTCTTTCCATGCAACTGGGCACACTGAGCCTCATGGGAGAGTCAGGGGTGCAAAGGCCAGCCGGTGGGACTCAGGGGACATGACTCACCGTCTGCTTCTTCTCAAATTCCCTCCAGACACGGGCAGCAACTTGGGCTTCCTTCTGCAAGTGGAGAAGGGTGTGGGGGGCTCAGAGAATGCTGAACCCAAGGAGGCATGGGGAAACTGAGGCTCAGATAGACAAAGTGACCTATCTCGTGAGGACTTCAAGGGCTGACCTTGACCCCTAGGTTGTGATGCCCACCCAACCGAGAGGAGGAAGGGGCCCAGAGACCTGGACCCAGAGGGGGTCCCAGAGGCCAGGGTCCACTACCTGGAAGGGCTGTGGGGCAGGGGTTTCTGCTGGGGCTGACCTGGCTTCGCGGCCTGGGCAGTGAGGTCAGCAAGGTCTCCAGCTGCTGGAGCTTTGCCAGTGCAGAGCCCACCTCCTGCTGGAGCTCCACGAACTCTGTGTACTGGTCCTGGAACACCGCAGCATAGCCGCTCCGTTCCCTCTCACTGCTCACTTGTGGGTACTTACTGCGGGGTTAAAGTGGAGCAGAGTGTGAATGGAAAGAACTCGTCCCTTTCCCCCAATCAGTTTAATTTGTTCTTCTTTGCCCATGTGGGACTCCCTGCCCCAAACGCCCCTTTTCTCGTTTTACTATTTAGTAAACTCCTATTCATTTGTCAAAGCCCCGTCCTCAGTGCCCCTTCCCTGTTCCCAGGCATCAGGAACAACGTGGGGGGGGGGTCACTCACAGCTCATAGTCGGGCACTGGGTGGGCCCTTGGCATATGCCCCCTGGGGATGGCTTCAATAGGCTTCCTGGTGCTCAAGAGGGCCCGGGATGGCAGCTCATCCTCAAATACAATCTTCTTGGGCCTTGCCCTGTGCGCTCCCGGTTGACGCTCGCACAGAGCGCGGGGGGCGCTGGTTTCCGGGCCTGGAGGCACCAACCGCTGCGGGAGCCGCAGGAATCATGGTTTGGAGTTAACCAGGGTTATGGGGAAGGCAGGATCCCTCGAACTGGGCGGAATGATCTTTTGCCTAGGCTCGGCCTGGGGACCCTCCTCCCGTTCGGACTCACCGGGGGCCCAGGGCCGGGCGGGCGGGTCTGCAGGTCCCCCCGGTAGCCGCGGGTCTTTGAGGACTCCCGGGTGGGCATCGGCCTCAGGGAGGCGCCGCTCGGGCGTCCCCGGGGCGGCGGGCGGGTCCTGCGGGGGGCGCCGCGGTCCCCGCCTGGCGGGGGAGGTCGGCGGGCCGCCTGTGGGCACCAGAGAAAGGTGCGCCGGGAGGCGGGGAAGCCCGGAGGGCCCACCAGGAGGCGGAGCCCGGAGCGGCCAACTCTCCACCGACGGGCGAGGGCGCTAGCTCCGCAGCTATTTGCATAGACGCACTCCATTGGCTCCCAGAGCAGCCCGCCCCTGGCTGCGTAACCCGGAAAGGCGCGACGCCCGTGACGCCACCGCGTATCCTGGGTGGGCCCGCCTCCAGTTAACCCCCGCGCTGCTGCAGCCTCGCCTGCTAGGACGCGTGAAGCCCACGGACACCGCCCCCGAGAAGTCCCCCGGGACCTCTGCCCCAGCTGCGGGCCGCACGGACCGCTCCGGTCCGGGGCTACCTGTCCCAGCGTCCGGGTCTCCGAGCCTGGGTCCGCTGCCGGAGAGGCGCCTGAGTCTGGGTTGTGCATTAACCTCAAAGGCTGGCTCCAACTGGCGGGGTCGCTCCACAGGGCGGGGCGGGGCCTAGAGAGATTGGGCGGGGTTGGCGGTGAGGGGGCGGGACCCAGCGTTAAGGGAAGTGGGTCCACTTTTGAAGCGCGGCAGGTTCAAGTCCAACAGAGACCGGACGTGTATTTTGGGTGTTTGGAGCTGGTGACTCACCTTCTCTGACCCTCGGGGTTTTTTGGCCTGAAAAACCGGTGGTTTTGGCAAACTTGTATTTATTTATTTACTCAGCAATTAAATTTTAAAAATATTTCTTTAATCACTAGATTATTATACTCTGAGCAGCAGTGTGAGAAATACTGGTTTTCCCACAACTTCTGTAACTCCAGTGCTATCACGGTTTCCCAGAAGTGTATCTTAAAAGTTTTAAGTCTTGACTAACCTGGTGAGAGAAAAAGTTCAGAAATGATTTGTCTTTCTTTTCCTGCACATTTTTTTTCTTGTTGATTTTTGGGAGCTCTTTGTATACCAAGGATGTAGTTTAAACAAGTAGTGTATCTTCTTTTACTATTATAGGTGAGATCGTCCAATACATTTTGCAGGCTTCCCCCCCCCCCCCCATTAGGGAAGTAAATTTAATTCTTTGCTGTTTTACTGGATTCTCTGGTTGAAATCGCTTTTTTTTAGTTAATTTGGGTTTTTCTAGTCATATCATCTGCAAATAACTTTGCCCTTTTTTCTCATTTCTCAGTCGAATCTCTTCTTTCTTGTTTAGTTGAATTGACCAGCACTTCCAGACAGTGTTAAATCTTCGGGGGAGTTGGGTGGACTGTGGACATTCCCCTCCACCTCCCTCTCTTTGATGGCAGAATTGCCAGTATTTGCTCATTAAATTCAATGCTCCTTGGCTTGAGATTTTGCAGTTAAATGAGGAAAATATCTATCTTTGCTAATTTTTTATTGAGACGTTGAGCAATGGATACTGAACAGTACAATGTACCATTTCACCCTATGATTGCGTTTCCTGATGCATTAATGTGGCTATTAACAAACTCCTATTGAACCATCTCTGCATCTTAGGCGTGAACCTTCTTAAGATCTACTTTTTTTTTCCTTCAAAGATTTTAAGTAATCTCTACACCCAAAGTGGGGCTTGAATTTACAACCCTGAGATTAAGAGTTGCATGCTTGGGGCGCCTGGGTGGCTCAGTCATTAAGCGTCTGCCTTGGGCTCAGGTCATGATCCCAGGGTCCTGGGATCGAGCCCCGCATCGGGGTCCCTGCTCCGCGGGAAGGCTGCTTCTCCCTCTCCCACTGCCCCTGCTTGTGTTCCCTCTGTCACTGTGTCTCTGTCAAATAAATAAATAAAATCTTAAAAAAAAAAAAGTTGCGTGCTCTACTGACTGAGCCAGCCAGGTGCCCCTCAAGATGTATTTTTTAAAAAGTTGCCATTAGAGCTTATAAAAAGCTTTACTTGGTGTTTTTACACCTATGTTGATGGGGGTCCATTAGGGCACTTCCATGCCTGTCCCCATAGTGCCCACTTACACTCCCCTGGGTCTGGGACAAACACCCTTGCGCACCTGTCACTTGCTGAGAGCAGAGCCCAGGACCAATGGTTCTCCTGGGACTCCCACTCTATAACCCCTTCCAGGGTCCCTACTCAGGAGGGAGTAGTGCCCCCCCCCCCCCCAGTTCTCATCTGAAATGATCAGGCTGTGACCTTGGCAGGGCAGAGTTTCCACAAACCCTCATGTGTTTGTTGAATGACTTGGTGAAGCCTCTAGTTTCCGGAGAGCTCAGGTTGTGGCTGGACTAAGTGCTATCTCTGAACTATCATCTTCAGTCTCAAGGAAGGCTCAGCCCTGATGCTCCCTCCTCCAGATATAGCCCCATTTCTCCCCCACCCTCCAGCCTCACCCCAACCGCACAGGGCTGAAGGCACCGTGTTTGGCTCTGCCTCTTCCAGCCTGGGGGCTTCTTGTGGCCTGGCCTTTCCCGGTATGGGGTGGGTACCAGGGGGGAACCGAAGGGGGAGTTCACTGGGTCACCACCCCTCCCAGACTGACCTTCCTCTCCTGCTCATGCACTTTCTGTGGCTCTCAGGAACCTCCAAAGACCCTCCCATATTGTTGCCCAGCCCAAAGGGCAGCCCTGGACATGGGTGGAGGGCAGACAGAGGGCAGACAGGGTGGGCCAAGACAGGTCTTTATTTGAGTTTGGGCATGATGCGGATGAAGAGGATCATGCTGATGAAGATGAAGCAGACGATGATAAGCATGGCCCAGAGCAGCCAGTTGACTGACTTCTGTGTGTGCTGCTCCAGCCGCTCGGATTCTGTCTTCAGCTTCTCCAGGTTCTGGTCAGCCATCTTGAGGGAGTGTGACAGGGTCTGTGGGTGAGGTAGGGAGAGTGTTAACCCGGCTGCGGCCAAGTGTGGCCTCTCCCCGCCACCTGGGGGCAAGTCTGCTCCTCTAGGTCTTTGCTGATACTGTCCCCTCTCTTGGGAGTTCCGTTTGTGCCTACTATCAAACTTCTATTGTCCAACAAAGCCCTGGCCACAATGCCCTTCTGCTGGGAAGCCTTCTCTGATGTCCCAGGGCAGAGGTTGGAAAGTTCCCACAGTCCTCACACCTGGTTGTCCTTCTTAATGACGCTCTGGGCGGCCAGTGTGTTGGTCTTGAGGCTCCGGGCCAGGCCTAGCATCTCCTCCGCGAGCTTCTCCTGGAGGTTCTGATGTCGCTGCAGGACGAGGTCCAGCTCGGCTGCCGACTGTTTCTCATCCCCTGGTCTGGGCCCTGTCACCCCGCTGACCTCATACATGGGTGGACAAGTGGGCATGAGATGGGGCCGGGGAGGGGAAGAAAGCAACATGTTCCCAAGGAACCCAGAGGTTATGGCTCCAGCCACTGCCCTGCTTGGGGCTCCGTTTCCCCTTTTTTACTTTGGCTTTTAGGAAGAGCATCCCCAGAAGTGGCTTCTGATCAGTGCTTTAGATGCTTGTGGAGGCCCTCGTGGTTTGGTGCTTCAGTGGCCCAAGGTTCGTTCAACCGCCCGCCCTCCTCACCCCCCAGGGCCACCCAAGGGCTGAAGACACTCACGTTCTCTTCCTCACATCCAGCTGGGGCTCTGGAAGCGAAAAAGCCAAGCAGGAAGGAAAGGATTGGTTTCCTGTTTTCCGGCTTCCTGATCATTGCCTATGATGTGTCTGCTATTCATAATGTCGTTGCCTATCTAGCTGGCTGCCCAGTGAGCTCCTGATCATGCTTCAAAGCCCTAACTCAAAAGCCCTCTCTTTTAAGAAGTTTTCCTCACCCCTATCTGGGCTCCCCAAGGCCCCACGTCCCTTCTGCTGGCCTAAACCTGGCCCCGTGGCCTGGGAGTTTCCAGCTTTATTTCCTCTGGGAGCCAGCTCCTCTGTCCTGGCACCCCCATCAGGCATAACTAGGTGACACCCCTGGGGCTATGCTTCCTGGGCTGTGGAACACCCTGGGGGAGCCAGGTAAAGGATATGAGGCAGCTCGACAGTTAAGCCTCAAGTCCTGTTTCATTCAGGGCGACTCACCTCCAGCAGAGTCCTGTGGGAAAAAGAGAGATGCATGAAGTCACCTATCTGTCCTGCCTCCCCCCCCCAAACTGTCCTTTCTGCTCTCAGAATCCCCCCCCACACACACTCATTCAGGGACCAGGGCAAGTCCTATGACCTCTGGGCCTCGGTTTCTTCGTTTTTCGAAGGGTTTACCTGATCCACATAAAATGTTCAAAAACACACTTGCCGTCCCATTTTACAGATGGAAAAACTTGTCCATTTGTGGCAAGATGAGACAACAGTCCTCTGTCTGTGGCAAACCATCTATCTGTCGCTCTGGGCCTTAACTAGGTAAGTACCATTTTTGCCTTGGACCAAACTCCTATACGTCTAGCAAAGTCCTGGCTCCGCCTTTCTGTTGGGAAGCCGACTGATGGCCCAGGTCAGAGGCTGTTGGGTCCCCTTGGGTCCCTGCACCCGCCAGCATTTGTTCTGGCCATACCCAGGCACGAAACTGTCCCTGACCAAAGGGTTCCCAAGGACCAGGGAGGAAGCCCTACCGTGCCTAGCAGCTCACTCCTCATTTCGCTGGTGTACCGAGCCCGCGACTGCAGATGCACCGTCTTGGTGGCAGGCACCCGCTCCCTGGCTGTGGTTGGTACACGGCCAGGGGCCAGAAACTGGTTGGCTAGGGCCTTCTCGGAGGCGGAGGTCTGCCGAAGAGGGAAAAGGGGTCACCAGAGGGGCAGGTCCTGGGCAGGTGAGCGTGATGAGGGCTGAGGAAGTAGAGCAGGCCGGCTCACCAGCTTCTCTGCCTGCAGCATCCCCTTCAGGAAATCGACCTTGCGGGAATATTCATTGATCACCTCGGAGGCTGGTTTGCTGGAAGGCGAGAAGAGGAAAAAGAAAACCTGCCCACTGTCCCCAGTTCCGGGAGGGGTCTCGGGAGGGGTCTCAGCAGGGGTCTGGAACCCAGGGATTCCCCAACAGGGACCGGCCCTGGCCCCCGACTCCCATCCCAGATTTGAAGCCCCTGTGGCCGCCTGCACTCACCTTGCCTGGGCTTTTAGGGCCTGCAGCATGTCCTCGAGGGCTCCCACGTACTGGGGAGGAAAAGTGGGGGTGTAAGCCTGGTCTGCCACACCCTCCCACTCCTCCCTGTCCTGCTCAAAGTGGGGGTGGGGGTGAGGGCTGGGGGCGGCAGGGCCACTAAGGGGGCGGGGCCAAGACGGGGGCGGGGCCGAAAGGGGAGGAGCCACGTGTCAGGGAGGCGCGGCTAGCTGACCTATAGGGAATGGGGCGGGAGCTACAGGTGGACGTGGCGGAGCCGGCCGGAAGGGGCGTGGTCAGGGCGGCCGTGGGGACTGGGGCGTAGGGCCCGGTGGCCGCTAGCTGCGGGGGCCGCCGTCCGGGCGTCGGGCTCTGCTTGACAGTAAAGATTTCCTTCACCTTCTCCAGACGCCACTCGTCCGGGTCCCGCTTCTCCGCTGCCATCGCCTCGCAGCGGCACAGCAACCGCACCAGGTTCAGCTCCAGCCTCGACGCTGCCATCACCCTTCGGCGGTACGCTGCCCCTTCCGCCGGCGCCATCTTGGAGAAGGGCGGAAGTGCTCTCATTTGGGCTTCTTCCGGGCGCGTCCACCACTCGTTCGCGGTTGCGTCTTTGGGGCGGAACTAATGTATTGTTTCAAGGAGAGGCACTTTCCTGTCTGTGTTTACTCAGGGCTAAATCGCGTTTTCCCTTCTCAAGCGTCTTAACCCTTCCGGAAGGGTTAAAAGGACCGGTCCTTCGATGTCAGTCCCATGTGCAGTACGTCCTCTGCTTATTCCTTATCTCCTGCTCAAAATTCCGCCCCCACGCCCACTTCTGTTTGGGTTCTTCCCACGCTGAGCTCTTCCGTATGCAGGCAGCCTTCCCCGGTTCTTCCCAGGGTACGGGCCTGGGACTAAGGTATCCAAGGCTTAGGGGCCCACCGAAGTTTGTGGTTATGAGCTTCCGGGTCTGATTCTGACTCCACCCCCCGCAGTGGCCTTGAGGAAGTTTAACTTTACGGGCCTGGTTCCTCCTTTGGAAAAGGGGTGGTGTGACAAAGCCTGCCTCGGGGCGGGGGGGGATATTAGCTAGCTCTGGGGGTGGGAGGTGGGGCAGGGTCACCCCTAACGCCCAGACTCCCATGGAGAGAGCCCCAGTCAAGGCCCATCCTGCGACCTCCCCCCACCCCTAGGCCTGCGGAGGACAGGGTTAAGGATTGGAGCTTCAGAGGGACTGGAGCCTGGCTTGCGGCACTCATCCATCTTCCCACCCCTCACGTCACCTGTGTCCCGGTCACACGTGGGCCTGGTGTCCTCGCAAAATACTATGTAGGAGACTAAACCCAGGGTGGATGAAGGGGGCCACTGGAGGCAGATGCGGCAGGCTCTGAATCCCAGCCCTACCCCATCCCAAACGTGTGGCCTCAGACAAGCCTCCCAACTCCCTCATGTGCCGTCTGGACTAGGGTTCTTCACTGCTCCCCCCACCCCGGCCCCATGGGCCCCGCCTGCCAGCAGGTTCCCACAGCTGCCCATCTGGTTGCAGCCTGGGAGCTGGGCTGAGAGAGGATAGTGGGGGGGGTGGTGGCTTCCGGTTCCGTTGGGCCCACCAGGGACTGATCCTCTCAGAGGGAGACGGCCTTGTAGCTGATATTTAAGCCCTCCCCGGGGAGAGGCTGGGTGCTAAAACAGGGCAATGGAAGGCAGCTTCCAGGACAACAGGCTCTTAGGCAACCCCCCCCCCATTTCCAGATCAATAAACAAGCACCTCCAGCAAGTGCACCACTCTAGTGTGAGGAGCACATGTGAAATTCCAACAACAATTGGCTGGAGGATCAGGGCGGGTCCTCCCAGACAAGGGGCACAGCCCCTTGCTCTGCACCCCTCTTGGCTGAGGCCACAGGGTGGACCCCCACCTGCTAGCCCCCTGCTCCTCCAATGAACTCCAAACCCAGCGTGAGCAGGAACTGCAAGCAAACACCTTTCAGGCACTTTTTATTTTGCACGGCTTGTGGGGCACCTGGGGCACCTCCCGTCCCAGACCTGTGGCCGTGTGTCTGAGGAGTGAGCCAAGCCTGAGAGAGGGGTAGCCCAACTCCGGAGATCCCCAAGCTGTCACTGTCGACCAGCAGGAATGTCCAACCCCAGGCCTTGCCCTCCCTGCCTGTGAGTGGTCCTGAGTCTCGGCTCCTGTTGGCCACACGGAGCGGGCAGTATGCTGAGGGTGGCCTCCTCTGGCCTCCCGAGTCTGGGGCATGGCGGACAGAAGAGTGATGGCCACATTCAAGTCTCCCTGGGATGTGAGGTCTGTGGTGCTGCAGGTGGAGGCTGCTGACCACCTTGTGCCCTGACTCCAGCCACCAGCCTTGATTCCCAGAGAGGCTCCAACATTCCTTCAGATGCAGGCCAACTGGGCCAGAGTATGCGTCCGAGACACACCTGGGGCAGTCGGGGGCCCCAAGGGTCCAAATCCCGTGTGCAAGGCCCCAGTCCTCAGACTGTGGGCCCCAGGCCGTGCTCATTGTGGGTCTGAGCCCCTGACATGCGGTGGCCGTGCAGGCTTTGCTCTGAAGACTCAAGTCCGGGTTATAAGGGAGATGCAGGGCGTTAATATAAAAGTTTGTACATACACGTATAAAAAACAATTTGGTCTCTCGTTAAGGCTGTTACAGTTTAAAGTTATGTAAACCACGCACAAAGAAACAGTTACCATATAAAACAAGAAGGGAGGTGGGAGATGCCAGATGCCAGGCCGCCCACCATGATTTGGTGCTCTGGGTGGGCGCATCTACGTGGTGTGGGGGCTCAGCAAGGGCGGCCGGGCCTTGGCTGGCCTCTCCCTGCTTGGACTCTGCACTTGGGGCTGGTGCCCACCTCACATTGTCTTGGAGCTTTTCATTCGGGATCCTTCTCAGCCAAAGGCTGGCTCTGCAGCTCAGTGCCCAGCTCTGGCACGGGCTGGTCCTCAGACTCGCGGGGACTCGGCACTGCGGCCCTCAGCCATTGGCCTGGCCCGAGGTGGGGGGCAGGCAGTAGGTTGGGGGGTCGGAGTACCTCCGCTTGGCCCCCGGAGGCCGGCCGCCCTCGTCCAGGGGCTCCTGCGTGCCCTGCACGGGCAGGTGAGCACTGGGTGTGACATACACAGAGTGTACCTGGTCCGGGCGGCGGGCAGGTGGCTCTCGGCGCCTCACTGGGGCAGCGGCCTCCAGGGCACCCGGTGCCCGGCCGGGGAGGTGGGAGGGCAGGCCGGGCGGGAGCTTGATGTTGGCTGTGGGCATGATGGGGGTCCGCCGGGGGGTCTTCACTCTGACCGTCACGAAGGACGACGGCCTTCGTCGTGGAGGGGCGGCTGCCACGGGGAGGGGGCTCAGGGCGGGCGCGCCGGGGCTGGGGAGAACAGGCGCGGGGGGCCCTTTTGAGAGACAGACGGCAGGGTTACTGCAGCTTCGGGGCCAGTAGACGGACCCTTGCCCCAGGGCCTGCCGGTGGTGGAGGACATGGGAAGGAGAAAAGCAGACGCTGCCTTAATACTGACCTTCTGAGGCCCCCCGCCCGGCCCGCTCTTCCAACAGGCTCTCAGTGCTGGCCGACGTTTCTGAGTCCAGGTTTTCCTCGTCGGAGCCCCGAGGGTCCAGCTCCGGCAGCCGGTAGGTGATGTCCTCCCTGGGGGCGGGGGGAGGGGGTTGTGGTGTCCAAGGCTGTTCCCAAGGTAAAAGACCACCCAACAAGAGTGCCAGCCCAGCAGGGTGCAGAACAGGCCTTCCTGGTCCTGGATGGGAGTCCCTGCCCTCAGCACCCCCAGCACCCATCCCCGAATCACACCTGGCCCAGAGACACTCCGGGGAGGATGGTGTCAGGCTGCTGAGGGAAGCCATCCACCTGGCCCTATACTGAGCTAGTGGCAGGCTCCTGCCTCAGGGCCTTTGCAAGTGTTGGTCCCTCTGCCCGAGTGCTCTACCCTGTTCCTAAGACGAGGGAGGCCAAGTGGCCCAGATCACACCTGTCCTCCTGGTATAATTTTTTAATTTTTATTTATTTATTTATTTATTTTTTTTTTTGGTATAATTTTTTTTAAAAAATTTATTTGACAGAGAGACCACAGGCAGAGGGAGCGGCAGGCTCCCCACAGAGCAGAGAGCCCCATGCGGGACTCGGGCCCAGGACCCTGGGATCATGCCCTGAGCCAAAGGCAGCCGCTTAACCGACTGAGCCACCCAGTCGCCCCCTGTCCTGGCATAATGTTAGTGGCATCCCTACACACTCACGTCTTGACCGGGTGACAGATTAATTGGTCACACTAGCTAAAACCAACTTGAAGACCAAGTTTGGGCATTACCCCTCTGCTGCCCCTTCTTTCCCTGTGGACCACCATGGCTCCTGGGGGCCGAGCGGGTGCTTAAACAGAGCCCTAGGCTGCCTTTGAGGATAGCAGCCCCCCAGGAGGTAGGTAGTGGACGACGGGAATGGGCCCAGCCTGTCAGCCTCCTCTAACAGCCGGGTCTGCTACGCGGAGGGGCCTGGGGCTAGGGGCCGGATGGCAGAGCCGAGGGCAGAAAGGGGACAGAGACACTTGCTTCTCCTCCTTGATGGACTGGATCCGCTCAATGAGGATCTCCTTCTCACGGTCCTCGTCGCCGCTGGGGACTTCCTCTTCTGGAAGCACCCCCAGCTCCTCCGGGCCACTGGCACTGCTCGCCCGGGCCTTGGGGCTCTTGTTCTACGACAGAGAAGCGGCAGGTGTGGCTGGCCCCGGGGGGGGGGGGGGCTCGTGCTCCCGGGAGGGGAGAGGGTGCTGTGAACAGCTCGGGGAGATCAGGTTAGTTCTGATGTGGAAGGGTGGGCTTAGTGAGGCTGCTCCAGGGATCATGTGGGGACCGAGTGGCTGGTGCTTGGCTGATTAGTCATCCTCAGTGCAGGTGGTCAGCAGGCAGTGGGCCTCCCCCAGCATGCACTTCCAGAAGGGTTAGGACATGCTCAGTCTATCCTATGAGACCACGGGCACAAGGGGAACCCAGCATGCACTGCACCGGAGACATGCAGGGCGGCCCGCGGAACGTGTACATACCAGGACCCCCTCATAGGGAGCTGAAAACCCCAGTTTGAGAGGCCATGGCTGGGGAAGAGACGAACAGAGGGTGACCACACAGGGGCCATGACCACCACACGGGCACAAGTCACGGGCACCGAGCCACATCGGACTGCGGGGGCAAGGACAGCGTCCTCCCGTGGGAGCCCAGGACCTGCCCCCCTCAGTCCCCACCCTCACTGTGGGGCCACTTCTGCGGTAGGGACTTTTCCCTGTAGAAGCGGCAGAAGGATGACCTGAACCATCACCGAGTGGATGACAGGTCCCATGCTGCCCTTCGAGGGGCAGTCGGCATGAGGCTGAGTGAGGAAGGTGGTCACTTAGCCAACGTGGGGGAACTGGCCCTCAACCACGCGCCCTTGGCTTGTGGCCAAGGGCGTGCAAGGGCCCCCACCGCCCCCAAGCCCTGCCCACCGGCCATTGCCACCCTGCCTGCTCACAGTGTTTTGTCGCAGGAGGGAGAGCCTGCGGAAGGCAATGCTCTCCGCAGCTTCCAGCTGGTTGATCTCCTCCATCTTCACCTTGTACTTCCTCATCTGTTCCTTGATGAGCATCTCCACGCAGCTGTGGAGAAGGTGACCCAGTGACTGCCCGCAGGATGGCCAGCATCAGGGCCTGGCGTCCAGAGGGCACTGGCCGGAGACTGGGGCCCGGGGGCCGAGATAAGAGAGCCCGGGACCAGGCAGGGCCACAGACGCAGCTGTGGGCTGTGGCTCCCATCTCTGTGGCAGCGTGCTGTGTGACCTCGTGAGGCTCACTCCACCTTTCTGAGCCTGAGGCCCCGTCTCCACAAGCCTCCCGGTTTGAAGGAGGAAGCACAGCACCGTGGACCGAAGTGAGCCAGCCCGTCAACAGTCCCCCTGCAGGGCGGGGACTGCCCCGCCGCACACGGAAGCCTAGGGGCCCACAGGAGCACCGTGAGTAGTTAAGTGTGGGGGGCAGGCCCCTCAGCCCCGACAGAGAGGCAGTCACAACTCAGGGTTTTCCATCATCACAACCACATAAGAAAAAAGGCAGCAAAGAAAGTGCCGGAAGAGGCTGGAAGAAAATCTGTCAACACCACGTGGCTACGCGGGTGCGTCAGAGCCACACAAGAAACCACCTAGGGTGACAGGTTCTTATTTTTACAGCTTGAAGCCTAAACAGTGCCTCTTAGTCCCTGACGTCTGACGACTTCCGAGCTCATTTGAAGAACCCTGAAAACTTCTGAAGGTGGCGCAGGGGGCAGAAGAGACCCCCAGACAGCTGCTGCTTTCCTGACATTTTTTGCTGCTACCAGAGACCAAGGACGTCAGGATGCTGGGCGCCCCCCGTCTGCCCCTCGCCTTGCAAGTGGAGAGAGCTTTCTCCTCTCCTCTGCGTTCTTCAGCCTCAAAAGCACTTGGCAGGGATGCCCTAGCTGCTGGAGGAGACGTAATGCGGGGGGGCGGGGCGGGGGCTGGCGCCCAGCACTTACGTGGTGACCTTGAGGACGTCCTTCATGCTGGTCAGCGGGTCCGAGTTGTCGGGGCAGCGCAGAAGGCAGGGTGCGAAGATGATGGCCAGGGCGCTGGGAGACATGCGGTTCACGTCCTCAAGCAGGGCCACCCTGTGTGGGGAGCGGCAGTTAGGGCGGCCGGGGAGACCCTGGATCCGAGGCCCGAGCCCTGCGGTTGCTTCGGGGAAGGGGCCTGGAGGTGGGACAGGGGCGGAGCCACCAGAGAAGGCCGGCCCGGGGCACACCACGGAGGGGCTCTTGATGGGGACCCCCCCCCAACCAACAGAAAGCAGGCGGCAGGCACTTGCTTGACAAGGTGGAAGATGAGCCGCTCCAGCGAGTTGTGGTTGGCCTCAGGCAGGTGCTCCAGGACGGCGTATATGGCGCCCAGCTGCTCCTGCTTCTCTGGCAGCTCTGGGGGGGCCCAGGGCATCAGCTCCCTGTAGGCCTGGCCCTGACACGTCCCCGGGGGCGGGGGGGGCGGGGCTGGGACGGGTGTGTGGCAAGGTGCAGGGCCGTGGAGGGGTGCACCCGCGCCAGGCCAGCCACTCGGAGCCCTGGTTCCTCCGCCGTGCCTCCCCGCCCAGCCGCCGTGAGCACGCGTGGTGCCAGCCCCGACCGTGGCCACCCGCCTGCCCTCGCTGCGGCTGCAGTGGGACTCACCCACGGCTCGGAGGAAGTCGCCGTACTGGGCGAAGGTCATGAGGGGCTCAGGCAGCTCTCGAAGCCACTGCTTGAGCACACCGGTGATGGCATGGATGGGGAAGTTCTCCAGCTTGACGGCTGCGGGGTCTGCGGGCAGGCCGGGCGGGGGCTGGTGAGCGCAGGCAGGACCCTCCCCCCCACGTGCCCACCCGCCCCCGACACCCACCTGTCTGCAGTGCCTGTCGCAGCTCCCGTGTGCGGTTGGCAGCGCCTGACTTGCGGTAGAGACCCTCGGTGTACAGGCCGTGCATCTCCACATGTTCCAGAAGCTTCTCCAGCACGATGGGCACGGAGGCCTTGTCACTGGTCAGGCTGTCCACGCACACGCCAAAGTGGCCTGGCTCGGCGCCTGGCTCGCTCTGCAACACCAGAGGTGGGGTTCAGGCCTCTCGTGTGGGCTCCCTCCCTCCCTGCCGGCAGCTGGGGGCGCCCGGCTGGGGAGGTGGGCTTGCTGGCCGCTGGGCTCCCTCAGGCCTGACAGCAGCCACAGCTCCCTCGGGGGAGTTGGTCCTGCTCCTGCTGCAGCCCCAGCACTTGGGACCCGGCCTCCCTTGTGCAGAGCTGGAGGCTTCCCTCCGCCTAGAGGAGGGAGGAGCACGGCTGGGGGCTCTGAGATGCACACATAAGCCCGGCCCTGCCTCGGGGGACCTCAAGGGGCTCTGACAGAACCGGGGGGTGCTCTTCTCTGGACCAGCCCCTCCTGTCGGCTCCCTCCTCCTACCTGACACCCAACCTTGGCCTTGCACCAAGCACACCCTCTCCTCCCCATGGCTTGGGATGGCCTCCCCCAGGTCTTCTGGAAAGTTCCGGGCCCCGGGGGGTGCTCACCTTGCTCCCACATGTGTAGGAACAGTAGGTCTGAATCTTGTGTACACATTTCTTGTGGCAGGTCATCTTGCACACTAGGAGGTCATGGGGGGGGTCACAGATGGTGCATCAAGGGCCCCAGGTTCCCACCAACCGGCTTCTATTTTTTTTTTTTTAAGATTTTATTTATTTATTTGTCAGAGAGAGAGAGCGAGAGCAGGAACACAAGTAGGGGGAGTGGGAGAGGGAGAAGCAGGCTTCCTGCCGAGCAGGGAGCCCGATGCGGGGCTCGATCCCAGGTCCCTGGGACCATGACCTGAGCCGAAGACAGACACTTAACGACTGAGCCACCCAGGCGTCCCTCCACCAACTGGCTTCTAAACGTGAGACATACGAATTTCTACCCCAATTCCCAGGCAAGGAAGCCATGTGGGCAGATGTTCACAGCTGGTGACTGTCAGTGGCCTCAGAGCCTGGCCGATGGGACAGTAGCAGGGGTTTGGGGGGCCATGCTTGAGAGAGAAAGCTAGCTGAGACCAAAAAGGAGGGGACATCCAGTGTCCTTGTCTCAGGGCGGTGACAAGTGCCCGAGTATTTGCGATGGACACTTGGGGGATACACAGGGACCGAAGAGACAGCACACCCTGGGCAGAAGAGAGACAGGCCCGGCCGATCGTGGCAGGAACACACAAGTGCCAGAGACCTGACTGACCGCACCCAGGCCCAGACCCTCCTGCCCACTGGGTGGGCCCGGGCTGCGTCTGTGTCCCAGGGTTCCTCTGGGGCAGACTGGCCTTGCCTGCCACATGGGGGAGGGACTCCGAGGGTCTAGGGAGGTGTTGGCAGATCAGGCAGCAGGAACAGGGTGCACGTAGGCTGGGAGGGAGGACATGGGGTAACCTGCTGGGGTGGGCGTGTGGAGGGCAGGTGGCAGAGCTGGGTGGGGTTGAGAATCGGCATCTGCCCCAGGGTGGCAGTGGGAAGACTGAGTGGGTGAGGCACGGCCAGGGCAGTGTTCCAGAAAGATCCACCCCGTGGCTCGAGTGGAGGCCCTGGTGCACACTGAGAGGTTGGGGACGTGGTGGGGGAGAAGGGGGTGTCGTGGAGCATCAGGGGGCATGGTGCGAGGGCCAGGAGCACTCACCGCTGCAGAGCAGGGCCTTGTCCATGAGCCAGATGTAGGAGAGGCACTGCTCACACGACTGCGGGATGCTCACCTGGTAGCTGACGAACACGTGCCCATTGTGCTGCTGGACCTGGGGGGCCGCGGGGGAGGGCGCTGAGCAGTCAGGGCAGACCCCCGCCCCTCCACGCTCTCACCGCGAGGCTGCCCAGCCTGAACGCGGCCTGTGGCACCTCAGGGCCGAGGTTCACGTTCACGAGCAGGGCTCCCTAGGGCTGGGCGGGAAAACACGCTCCCACACGCGCGTGCGCACAAATACTCACAGCGCGATCCTGCTTCCGCTTCTTCTTCTGAGCTTTGCTCTGCTGTGAGGGAGCACACGGGGGAAGTGTGTGAGGACCCTGGGAGCACCTCCACCTCCCGCTGCCACCTCCCCCCCCCCCACTGGTGGTCCCTGAAGCGGCACCACCAACCTTGGGCGGCTCGAAGTCGTTCTTGGTGTGCCCGCGGGTGAACTCGTCGAGCAGCGACTGGAAAAGGTTGAGGACCAGGTTGGTGTCCTTTTCCCCTCGCTCGGCCGCCAGGTTGTTCACGACAATCTGGTAGTTCTCCATCAGGTCCTTGTAGCCGACGTGGATCTTCCCGTTCTGCGGGGATGCAGGCGTGACCCTCGTGGGACAGACAGATGGGGGGGCGCCCTGGAGAGGGCACGGGGGGGACCCCCAGGGGCCCTCCCCGGGGCTGGGGACTGCACGTACAGGGACAGAGTACATGGTTTTGAGGTTGCTCCTGAACTTTTCGGTGGCTTCGATGAATAAGCTCTCGATGGGAGTCTTCTGAGAACGTAGGTCGTTTATCTGGAGAAGGAGAGAGAGATGGCCTGACTCGGGAGTTACCTCCGAGGCTTGGCATCTGACCGCTTGCTGCTCTGGTCTGTCAGGTCCTTCCCTGGCTCCTCTGCGATCCCAGGGGGGGAAAAAAAAAATCCAGGCCCCCTGGCTAATCCTGGTCTGTCCAATCCCTTCAGCCCAGGTTTAAACTAAACACCCAACATTTGGGGCTGGGTCACACTAGGGGTGTTGAACAGCACCCCCGGCCCCCACCCACCAGTTGCCAGTAGCACTCCCCAGTCATGACAACCAAAAATGTCTGCAGATGTAGCCAACGGTCCCCTGGGACACAATCATCCCTGGGGCCCCTCCTGCCACTACACACAGGCGCTTAACCCTGAGCCATGCCCCAAATGCATGCCATAGTGACCGATTCACCTCTGCTGTATACACGACGTGCTCAGTCGGCATCTGCCCTGAGACCCAGTGCGTTTTGTGAAAGTGTATTCTAAACAAAATGAGTTCATGGTCAGGGCTGAGCCACAGCGAGTCACCCAGTGGGATGCAGGTGTGGCCAGCGCCCACCTGACTCCAGGCACTTCCGTTTCCCCCAGTGTGAGAGTAAGTGGGGCAATCAGCCCCAGGGGGGCTGGGAGCCAACACACACAGTGTCTTCAAGCAGCAGATTCTGAACTTCCTGGGCAGGTACTGCCGGATCCAATGCATCCGCCTGGTGCCCAAGCTGCACGCACTAGGTGCCGGAGAGGATGCTGGCCCAGACCACAACCCCTTGCCCGAGACCCTCCGGACAGGAGTGCCCCAGAATCAGGCAGTGCAGATGTGACACTGTTGCACAAGTTCTGGGCCGGCCCTGTAATCAGACCCACTGCCTTTTTTTTTTTTTTTTTTTTTAAGTAAGCTGTATGCCCAACAAAGGGCTTGAACTCATGGCCCTGAGATCAAGAGTCACCTGCTCTACCGACGGGCCAGCCAGGCGCCCCAAGACCCACCGCCTTCTCACACGAAATGTAAATATCCACGGTAAGCAACATGCATGTATCCTACAAATGTTCTCCCGTGAGTCCAGGTGGAATTTTGCGGTGAAGTCTGGGAATAAAGCGTCTGGTTTCTGGAACGTTCTGTGTTGGAACCGTGCCCCTGGACATTCTGTTCCTGGCACACTAAGGGCTGTACCGTGGCAGCTCTGGAGCGCCGGGTGGTGACAACCCTTCTGGGGAGGCCCCGGTCTGACCCTGTGTGTCCCCGCCAACCCCGTAGTTGCCCCTTGAGGACGACCCACCTTGTTGAGCAGGAACTCATCCAGGTACTTGAGCTCATTGGCATTGGTGATCTTGCGGAACACTGATTCTCGCCACTTCTCCGACACTGTGATTTTGCCAATCTTGAGGTTTCGGTTCTTCTTCCCTTTGCCTCCTGGCTCCTTGGCGTGCTTCTCGCCTGCTGGGTGGCGGTGCTGGTGGCTGGAGGAGGCTGGAGGGAGAAGGAGCAGCTGGTGAGGTGGGTTCCGGGGGAGGCAGGGTCCCACACGCAGAGAACCAGGACCCTGCCCTGTTGCAAGCTGGGGTCTGCAGTCAGAAAGCACCCTGGGGTTGGGCGGCGGTATCCGGGACCAGCCCTGAAGCCCTGGGCCCCGTACACATCCCCGGGGACCCTGGCAGCTCTGCCCTCCATCCCTGAGGCTGCCAGCGACCAACCTTCTAGATTCTTTTTGGTGGTGGCAGCTTCCAGCATGGTGAGCCCTGGCGCTGTGTTCTCCGTTTCCTCTACCCCCTCCAGGCTGGATTTTTTATCCTTATTCTTATGCAAGAAAAGTCTTTTAAAAGTGGATCTGCAGGAGAAAGTAAGGGGTTTCATTTAAGCCTCAGGAAGCGACAATGGAAACAAGGCTGAAGGAAAGGTTATCTTACTATAAAGAGAAAAATCACCCTTTGCTTGGTTATCCACAGAAAGAGATGCTACTAAAAATGAAATTGATTTGTGGGAACTGACAGGGGAGTCAGGTGAAAAAACAAGACGCAGAGCAGACATCACAGCATGACCCCATTTTCGTGTGAAAAAAAAAGAAAAGAAATAAAACTACCCTCTGCCCCCGTGTGTCTATGCGCCTGAGTTTTAGGAAAGAAAATCAGAGGGAACGAATGCCCCATTGGGCTCCGAATGGTGGGCCCCCCAAATGATGTGTCTGTGTGCTCATGCTCAGGACCTGTGAGGGTGATCTTATTTGGGAAAAGGGTCTTTGCAGATGTGACTAAGTACTATGCGTCATGCTCTGAATGAATGTCTCCCCTCAAATTTGAATGCTGAAGTCGTACCCTCCGTGGGATGGCATTAGGGGGGTGATTAGGTCACGAGGGGGGAGCCCCCTTGCCCTTCCTGCTACGTGGCACCCCAGGGAAAGACACCATCCGTGAACCAGGAAGTGGCTCCCACCACATACTGCATCTGCTGGTGCCTTGACCTTGAACTTCCAGCCCCCAGAAGATATGTCTAGAGTTTAAGCCACTTAGTCTGTGGTGGTTTTGTTACAGCAGCCTCAAGATGAGGTCATCTTGGATTACCCAGGTGGGCCTTACATCCAGGGACCAGCATCCTTATGAGAGAGAAAGAGAGAACACAGAGGAAAGAGGAAGGTCATGTGAAGATGCAGGTGGGGACGAGGGTGATGCAGCCACAAGCCGAGGCTGCCTGGAGCCCCCAGGAACCGGAAGAGGCAAGGAGTGCCCTTCCCTAGAGCCTTCCGCCGGGGGGGGGGGGGGGGGGGCACCCTGCCAACACTCTGATTTCGGACTCCTGGCCGCCAGGACCGTGAGAAGTGAATTCCAGTTGTTGGAAGCCCCCTGCTTTGAGTGCTCTGTTTTGGGGGTTGGGGTGTCCCCGCGGCGGCGAGCACTCTGCAAGCCTGGTCTGGACCTTCCTCAGCCTCCTGTCCCTGCGTTCGGATCAAAGCCCCCCTGTCCCATGGCTCATCCTCTCCGCTCTGCGATGGAACCATCTGGAGCACTTCTGAAGGGGTTTTCTGGAGCCAGAGCTATTGGCCCAGTTTCTTCTATCCACGGACCCGGGAGGGGTCCCGGAGGTAGGGGGAGCCGGGAGCTGGTTCTGATGCCATAAAAAGTCAAATGGAAACCGTCTACCTGTGGACCCAGAGGAGGTGACCCAGATTGGCTCTAGGCTGCAGTGGGAATGACACCGGCACGCAGCCCCACCGGCGCGTGAGGTCACAAACTGGGCGCCGTGAGGGACTGCTCATCCTAGACTGGGTAAACACCTGCCCGACTGTGCTTCGTAAATGCCATCAGTCTAGGAGACCAGACTGCCCTGAGACGGGGGGCCCCTGGCAGGGCCCCTGGGCATCCTCTGGTGGTGACCTGAGCCACCTCCCAAGCTCACACTTACTTAGAGTCGGCCTGGTGGCCTGGGGACAGCCCAGAATCTGAGCCGACAGATGTGTCACCTGACTTCTTCTTCTGAACGGCCAGCTTCTTGGTGCTGGGCTCCCCGTCCACGGTTTCTATAGAAGGCTGCAAGGGAACAGGGCTGGGTAAGCAAAGGCAGGCAGGACTCACTGGAGGGAAAGCTGCATTTTGGGCAGAGCTGGGGCAGCCAGGGTGGGAGCTGCAGCCTGAAGCTTTACCTGCATCTTGGTCTGGGATGGGGACGGGAGGAGCTTGGAGACGTCGCTCGTGGACAAGGAAATGCGTCTCTCCCTGTGAGATCACAGAAACGTGGCTTTTATTTACAAGGGCGAGTTAGGAGACCTTTTTGGTTGTCCTGACTTGGGTGGAAGGGGCTCGGGCATCTGGTGGGCGGAGAGCAGGGATGGTGCTCCACACTCCACAGTGCATGGGTCAGCCCACCCCAGAGAACGAGCCGGCCGCAGGTGTTGGCGTGCCAGGCCAAGAAAGCCCGGCCTGGCAGAAGGCCTGCACCTTCTTCCAGCTCTTCGTCCCTCTGGCCAAGCAGGCCTCTGGGAGGAGGGGCTGGGGACTCGGGGTCACCGGTGTGGAGCTAACTAAGGGTCAGGCAGAGTGGGTCAAGAGCTGGGCCCCTTCTTCAGTTCCTGGGTGAAGGTAATCACCCCTATTCTCTGATGAGGACACGGAGACCCAGGCAGACTGGGAAGTGGGATGTTGCCCCGAGAGGCTGCCTCCCACAAAGCCAGGGGATTTCTGTGTGAACACAGCTCATTATGGGGCAGGAAGAGGACTCAGGATCCCAGCTGGCCCCAGGCTCCGTAGCTCCTGGCAGATGCCAAATCTTCACGTTCCCCTGCCCCTCCTTCCCTCGGGGCTCCCACACACCTGGCCTTGGCTCTCGGGCAGGTACAGAGCCACTCACACGTTTTTGGGACACGTGGCACTGCCCAGGGCCCGCTGCCAGGCCTCCACCCAACCCAGCCTGGCAGCCATGGTGTTCCGACAAGGGAGGACCCGGGGCTTACTCTGTGGGTGTGAGAGCGGCCCCCACGGCCCTGTGCCGCTCGCTGAGGTCCAGGGACTGGCTCAGCATGGCGCTCGAATTGGCGGCCGTCAGCTTCCTGCCCCGCCACAGCTCCACGGCGCTGGCCAGCCGCTCAGAGTCTGGGTCCCGGTACCGCTGGATCTGGGTGGAGCCCCCCGGGCTCTCAGACCTGTCCTGTGCCCTCGGGTCACCCCCCAGCTTGCTCTTGTCCTTGGGAGTCTCGGGGGTGGTGCTGGGGGTGGGCACATTGACTCTACTGTCCAAGGCTAGGCTGGTTGGCCGTTCCACGTGGCCAGGCGGTGGCTCCCTGCCCTGCAGGGTTTCTCCAGAGAGCTGGCTGGCCGGCGCCCCCTGCAGTGGCTCCTCGGGCTGCTTCTTAGAAGCATTCTCTGTCTCTGTCCCCGCATTTGAAGGGGTTTCCTCTTCTCTGGTCTCCTTTCTGTCTTCGGGGAGGCTCTCCTCTTGCTCTAGCACAGTCCTTCCAGAAGATTCTCTGAGGGCCATCTCTTCCTTACAGGACTGTATGTGTTTGTTTTGGAGCTTCACGTGCTCCAGCCCTCTCTGCCGCCGTGACTCACGCTTCTCCCGGCTGCTGGGCACTTTCTCGTGACTTTCAGCTGCATTTTTCTGGGGTGGGAGAGCCTTCTCTGGGCTGGGGACCTCCTTCTCTGGTTGGGAGCTCTCTGCCAGGGGCTCCTCACTTGGCCACCCTTCGGGTTCCAACACCGAATGCTCCCTGTCCTCTGATGGTTCTGGGTCCTGCCTGGGCACCTGCTCCTGCTCAGCCGCCTGGCCTGGCCCGCCCTCTGCCGTTTCCGCCCTCAGGGCCTGCTGGACTTCCTTCTCCTCTCCAGCCTTCTGCTTCTCTGCGACCATCCGGCTGAAGCTGGTGTGAGAAGAGTAAAGGGGCTGGGTTCAGAACAAAAGTGCGTGCCATCTCCAGAATCCACCCAGGGCATCAGGGACTCCCGTGCCACCCACAGGCTGGCGGCCAGGCTTTGCCCCTGCCAAGTGGGGTAACCCTGGCCCTCAGAGATGCTTCTGGAAAGGCAGAAACGCCTCAGCTAGGAAAGGGAGATAGAGGAGGTGGCCCCTTATTGTCATGGCCACCTCTGCCCTGGGTCTCCCTGTTGTGAGAGGGATCTGTCAAAAAACCCCTGAATTCCCGTGGGGTCCCTGGCTGGGTGGATGTTTGAGCTTCATATATAAGCATGGGCTGAGGGGAACCCACCATGGGCTGGTCTTCACAACCTGAACCCTCCACCTCTGAAGCCAGGTGTTTCATCAATGGGCCCAGGGTAGGTGGGTACAGTGAGGGGGTCCCTGGCAGAGACCAAGTCCCGCCAACAGTGACCTCAGTTTTCGTCTACAGGTGTTGCCCACCAGCCCTGGAGCATCTCTCTGGGGCTGCGTGTGCCCAGACAGCCAGATTTTTGACAGCCCCTCCCAGCTTCCCTGCATCTAAATGATGTCCTGGGGGCTCCCCTGGCCAGGAGGTATCTCAGGCAGCTCTCGGGTGAGTGGGATGTTAGGGGCTGGGCCGGGGTGGTGGGGGGGCGGTTGGGGGAGGGATGGGAGGTGGGGCCTTGCTCTGCTCACCTCTTACGCTGAAGGTGACCCCGGCAGAGGCTCTGCAGGCGGATGATGCTCTGTCTACGGCGCCGGTAGGCCACCCGTTGCCGGTAGCCCCTCCACGCGGCCTGGAGGTACACAGCAGCCTGTGTCCTCTCCAGGGCCCGTCGGACGCAGTAGGACCGCCAGCAGGCCTGGGTGTGGAGTGAGTGTTCAGGGCCTGAGCATGTGTGACCCCCGCTGCCCCCGTCCCTGGCCCTGCAGGGTCCCCGTGGTACCTGGATGGTGATGGCTGCCTGCCTCATCTGCAGAAAGTGCCGGCGTTCCAGCACCATCCGGAACCAGCTCTGCAGGAGCAGGATCTTCCGCACGACCTCCCGGTGCAGCGTCTCCTGAAGGGCTTGGCGCTCTGTCTCCTTCAGGAAAACCTGGTGGGGCAGGGGCACAGGAGGGGTCAGCACAGCCCCCAGAATCCCTGTGCCCTGTAAGTGTGTGAGACAGAGCTGGTATGCTGACTGACCCGACCAAGAGGAATTTTTTTTTTAATATATTGAGAGAATTCTTGTAACGTGAAGTTAACCATCGTTAACACAAACAAATCAGGGGCATTTGGTACGTTCACAACATTGTGCAAACATCACTACCATCGAGCTCCAGAACATTTCCATCACCCTGAAGAGAGACCCCATCCCCGTGAGCAGTCACTCCCCGTTTCCTCTCTCCCTCCGGCCCCTGGTAATAACCTGTGATCTGCTTTCTATGGATTTGCCTGTTCTGGAAGCCTCATACACACGGGATCACACACTATGCAGGCTTTTGTGTCCGGCTTCTCTCACTCATCATGTCTTCAAGGTTCATCCATGTCATAGCGTGTAGCAGGGCCACAGAGTAATTCATCGTACGAATGGCCCACAGTTCTGGAATCCATTCATCAGCTGATGGACCGCATGGGCTCCTTCTACCTATTGTTGACTAGTGCCGCTATGGACGTGCGCATATAAGGATCTGTTTAAACACCTCGTTTCCAGTTCTTTTGGGTCCATACCCAGGAACAGAATTGCTGGGTCATGTGGTAACTAGAGGATTAGCTTATTGGAGAACAGTGAAGGGACTTTTCACATCAGATGAAGCCCTAACGGGAGCTGCCCTTAGCCCGTGCTGGACGAGGACAGCGGCTGGTGCCCTGACAGTAAGAAGCAACCAGCACGTACCTAGAGCTGGCAGACGGTGTCTGAAAGGAACACCAGGGAAAGAAGCCTTCTGCCAGACACTAAAAGCTAGCAACTGGCTCCTGGACACCCCGCAGGAACCCTAGGCCATGTGTGAGGAAGCAGGAAATGGGAGTCCCGCCCCTTAGATGCACCCCTTTGCCTTCTGGGAAGAAAGAATGTGCTGGGCCCCAAGAAAGACACTTCCTCAGCCGAGCCCCTTGTCTCTCAGCATGTGGCCCGGGACCTCGGGCCATGGGAGGACCCTGCATGTGGTGGGAGGCGGGGTGAGGGTTTGCGGCCCCTGAGGGGCGGGAGCCCTGACCTTGGTCTTCCCGATCTGGTAGTTCCTCTTGTCCACGTCCATCTTTTCCAATAGGGCAGAAATGACCTCCCGGCAGGGCTGGGTGTTCTTGGGCAGCAGCACCTGGAACTGCTCTGTGAAATCCTGTGTGATTTTGGCCAAGAGAAGAGAGTCTCTGTTGAGTTTCTGCCACCAGCAAGGATATGGCGCTCCAGCGATTCCCTGGTCGAGCCAAGTTTCCAAAGCTGGAATGGTACTACTGACAAAGCTAGAATCTCAGACTCTCTGAAACAGCTTCAAGCTTCGGAAAGACCACCACACACACACAGCACTGGGTCTTTCAGTCACTTGGAGAGTGGCTCTTAAGGGCCTGCCAGGGCTGGCATTGTTGGGGGGTGGCCAGGAAACAGGGCTGCCTTCGGGGGGGCTCACAGTCTACGGCTCATTAGAGAGCTGAATCAGAGCTGGAGATACACAGCTTTTAAGTAAAGAGGTCAAATTTTTAAGAATGAAGCGTTAGTAAAATACACTGGCATTTCCTCCCATTTCTGTGATTCTGCTTTTCCTATTTATACACGGTCAGAGAGACGCTATTTCCATTCTGTAGATGAGAAAAAGGGAGGCGTGCCATGATGAAGCCCTGTCCCCGAGGCCATACAGGTACAGCTGGATTGGGGACAAGGTGCCACCACCTCCGGCTTCAGGCCCAGTGCTGACTCCTGTGCTCACACCGGGGATGCCAGCTCATCGTATGATCCAGGGGTTCTCAGGCCAGGCTGGCTTACCACCAGGGACGTGGGGTGATGTCTGGACACATCCAGGCTTCTCCCAACTTGGGAGGGCAGGGTGCTCCCGGCATCGAGACCAGGGATGCTGCTCAACGTCCCATAATACACAAGGCAGCCCCCACCAAAAGAATGACCAGGTGGCCCCAGGGTCAATGGTCCTGCCGTCGAGAAACTGTTCTAGCAGCTTGGTCTTCACTAATTTGACGTCACCAAAGATCCTTCGCATTTCTAAAAACCCCAGGGAGCCAGAACTGCTTGCTGCTGGTTGGTGGAATAGAAGAGATGGGTATAAAAGCATCTGTCACAGAAGATGCTCAACAGAGGGCAGAGCTGTGCAGGGATCTGCTCATGTAACTCCCTCTTCCCAGCTTGGCTCGACACCTCTGTATCCTTCCAGGCTTGGCCTGGGCCCAGCCACCTCTTCCGGGGACACTTGCTACCCCCAACCCCAACGACAGAGAAAAATCTGGTATAAATGCCAACAGTGCCGGGGTGGAGAAGCCTTGGCATCAAGTGACCCCCTGGGTTTATGTTCCAGAGAAGCGCTCTCTCTGAGAGCAGGTGGCTGGCCCCCTGCCCCGTCAGGACAGGCACGCGCGTGCCGCCTACCTGGAACGTGTACTTGGCGCTGTAGCCTGACCTCCGGATTCGCACTGTCTCCAGCATGCCCGTGTAGCGCAGCTGCTGCAGCACCAGCTCATCGTCGAAACATAGCTCCTTCTGAAACGGGGTATGGGCGGTCAGGACACGTGCCTGCTTCTGGACAGCAAAGCGTCGGCGGCCGGGGATGGGGAGCTATGGGACAAAGTCCTGTAGGCTTCCGGACACAGGCACGGTCGGGGAGCAAAGGCCAGCCCCAGCTGGTCGGGACTGTCCCCAGCGTGGCAGCCGTGGCCACCCGGAGGATCCGTATTTCCTTGCTCCAGACACTCTTTTTGGATTAAAGAGGTGGGGCTGCTCAGCAGTGGGGCTTAAGGTATTCATCTCTTCTGGAAAAGCTGGCATCTGATCTGCTCTATTCCCTGGTGTCTGGGAGACACGTGCCATTTCTTGCTGCTTAATTTAAGATGATGTGCTGCAAAGAGTTAGTTCTTAAGAGCTCCAATCAAAACCGGTGCTGAGCTCATACCCTGCACCAGGCCCTGGGGTAAATACTAGGGATTCAGCCAAGAGGAGAATAAGGTCTGGAGGTGGAAGCCAGGTGCGTACGTGAATGGGGCAGATACTGCCAGGGCCCCCGGGGAAGGGTCCAATAGGTGAGGGGGCCTTGGACTGAGTCCTGAGGAGGGAATGGGCAGGTAACAGCCAGGTGAAGGCCCAAAGGAGAACTCCGGGTCCTCGCCCAGGAGGAGAGAAGCCACAGAACCTGGTAGGGAGAAGCTGGGCTCTGGATGTTGACAGGGCATCCCAGGAGCAGGAAAAAAGGAAATGGAAATGGGAAGAGGCAAAGGGGGTAGGCCCAGATCCTAATGGTTCTAGCAAAGTCCCCAAGGGGACAGAATGGCCGATGGACCTATGGGGCAAAGGAAACCTGGCAGGGAGGGCTGAGCCCCCACTGGGGCCCCCACTGGTGCTCCATGAGTCTTTCCAGAAATTTTCAGATCAAATGAACAGCAGGCTCTGTGCTTCTGCCATATGACCTCAGCCCCTCCCTTCTGGCACATTTTCTGCACTGGCCGATTTGGAGATGTACTGAAGAGCATGTTTGACTTGTCCCTCCTAGGGCTTCGCCACGTTCCAGATGATGTCCTTGCTCTTGGTGGGCCACCTGGCTGCCCTCACTGCTTCCTGCGAACCCCCCCTCCACCTCAGGCCGGCCATTTCTGGTTCCTGGAACCTGTGTGAACACTTGGTTCCTTGAGACCTTGGCCTTCACCTCCCCAAGACATGGGAGCTACTTACCTTCTCGGCATTGGAGCGGATGCAGCGGATAAAGAAAGGCTCCGCCTTCCCCAGTGCCTCCAGGAGCTTGTTAAGGGACGTCTGGGGAAAGAGGGAGAGGTCTTGAGCTGGCAAGCCGCTCAGTGGGAGGGGACCCAGGTCACTCGCTGGCATCAGCACTGATACAGGACATGGGAAGCCGTAGCTGGACATTCTGACTAGAGGCTGCACTACCTCTGGGAGCCCCAAAGAGAGCCGTAGGGTCCCCAGAGTTAACAGCTGTCATCTTCCCAGGGTCTCCCAGCTCTTTGTCTCAGTGGGAATATTTGGGGGGGGGGGGTTGGTGGGACCAGATAAACTCCTTCTGGGGATTTAAAATGCCGGTCAGCCGCAGAAAGAAGCACAGATGCCGTGATTTTGTTCTTCAGCCTGCTGTTTACAAAAAGGATTTGCAGGGGGTGCCTGGGTGGCTCAGTCGGTTAAGCGGTTGCCTTCTGCTCAGGTCATGATCCCAGGGCCCTGGGATCGAGCCCCGCATCGGGCTCCCTGCTCGGCGGGGAGCCTGCTTCTCCCTCTCCCTGCCGCTCTGCCTACTTGTGCTCTCTATCTCTGTCAAGTAAATAAATAAAATCTTTAAAAAACAAACAAACAAACAGACAGACAGACAAACAAAACCAAAAAGGATTAGCAGAAGCTCCCAGGTGAGGGGATTACAAAAAAAGTCAAGGCGGACACAAAAGACTCAGACTGAGGAAAAGGGGAAAGGGAAAAAAAGGTAATGGCAAGTAAGGGTCAGCAGCAGCCTTCCGGCCCCCTTAAAAAAAGTACCTCTGAGCTTCCTGGCAGCCAGGGGAAAAAAAGGGAAACATGACCTCACAACACAGTTCGGTGGTCACCTTCATGGGCTCACGTTATTTTAACTCAATGGTCCACAACAGGGGTGATTCTGCCCCACCCACCAGAGCATGTGGCAATGTCTGGAGACATTTTTGGTCGTCACAACCGGAGGATGCTACCATGTGTCCCCTAACGCCCAGGATGGCCCCTGCCATGGAGGACGAGCCAGCCACAAATGTCAAACAATGCCGAGGGCAGGAAGCGCTAGAATAACCATTTGTTGGGTTTGCCATGGCCAGGTCACAAGAGCATTAGGCTGAGTTCGCCCACCCCCCACCCCGCAGCCTCTCCGGGCTGCCTACCTGGAACTGGGCGCTGATGCTAGGCGGCTTCTTTTTCTTGTGGAGGTGCAGCAGGGACTTGGTGGTGCGATCGTGAAGAGTCATGCTGATGATGAGCTTCAGGGACTTGGAGTCCAGCAGGTTCTAGGACAGACACATGGGGTCTGGCCTGCCCTCCTGGTGGGCCCAATGGGCACTGGGAGGCCCTGGAGCCAGGACTATGCTCCCGGGGGTGGCAGCTCTTAGGATCAATCTCGGGACAGTGCTGCTGGAGGGCAGGGGGTGGTGGGCTTGGCAGGAGGCAGAGGCGGCCCCAAGGCCCATGCGCCTTGCACATGGCACCAGCTCCGGGAGGACTGATTACGGCCTCTCTTGCAGCCCGATGGGCCGGAAGCCGAGAGCTCCAGAGGGCCACCTTCCTTCTGGACATGACTTCTCCAGGGGTGCCAAGCCCCTGGCACTTCTGCACGAGCTTCTCCGGCGGATCCCCCCATGTGTGCCAACCCTTAGTATCAGCTCACAGAAGGAACTAGCGCTGTCCCGTCTGTTGGCCAGACTAGGAGGTTTTTCTCCCTTTTGCACATTTCATAATCCGTCTGCACACTGTATGTGGAGACTAGATAGAGGCTGGGTGCAGTTTACTGGAGGCCAACTACTGGGGTCTCGGCTACTGGCCACACACGGTTGCCTCCTTCCTGATGGGACTTCCCTGGCTGAAGGGCCTCTGCTCCCAGAAATGCCTGGGAGGTGCTGTATCCTGTTCTGCCCTCCGGAGGTGGCTGGTAGCTAAAGATCCCCAAAGTGGGGGGAGGACAGAAGGGTCCCATTGCCTCTGGGTGGGAAAAGCTCTTTGGTGCAGATCATACTCCGAGGCTCCCGTGGGATCAGGCCTCCCCCTGCCCCGGCCTGCTTTCCCACCTCTTCTCAGGTTCCTCCCGGGAGCTCCCGTCAACATGCTTGTGCAGATGACCCCATCACATGCCCAGCTTCTGGAAAACCCCAAGACCGCTCCAAATCATTTCCGTCGGAGAAATTATTTTTGGAGGGGAGCGGGCGGCAGGGGGGGACGGCGGGAAGAGGAAGGAACTAAAAAGCTGGAGATGTTAAAAGTGCCTCCCTCCCCCCACCCCACCCCCTATTTTCCAGAAAGGGAGTTGAGTCAGGCACTCCCAAGACGGGCAAAAAGCAAGGTGGCCTTGGGCGGTGTCGCGAATGTTTACCTTTGGAATGAGCTGCTTTTGTTTGATACCTTTACTTTTCCTGTCAAAATATTAAAAATGGTTTTGTGAACAGAAGGAACACAGTGTCTGGATCTGGGTTAGTTGAACAAGCCGCGCCTCGCGGGTTAGATGGAGCGAGAGCAGAGAAAGCAGAGTCAGGGCCCACAAGTGCAACGAGGCCGCTGCGCCGCCTCTCCGAGGCCCTGGTGGGCCCACCCGGTGCATGCGTGGGGCGCTTCTGCGACTGCGCGGGAGCTTCACTGCGCCAGCAGCCACCCCCGAGGGGGCAGGTGCATCTGGCTCGGGGCAGTGGGTCATCGGCCAGGCAGAACGTGCGTCTGTGCGGGGCCAGCCACGGTGGAGCTGACGGGTCTCAAAAAATGACAGTGGACTGCCTCTCGTGGAGCTCGGGGGGACCCAGCACCATTCTGGCACCTACCAGGTGTCCTGGCTCTATTCTCTACACGTTGGGAAATGTCAAGTAGGCCCACAAGAGCCGCCTCAGGACCCCCTGACAGGCTGTGGGGGGTCTCTGCCCACACTGGTGCTGAGGAAAAGACAAAGCCGATCTTTTGGGGAAGGCAGAGGGGTATGGCCCTCATTCTCAGACGCTTTATGGAATCTTGCAGACAAATAAAAAATTTTTTTAAGCTTGCAGCTTTGGGGAGCCCGGGTGGCTCAGTTGGTTAATCGGCTGCCTTCGGCTCAGGTCATGATTCCAGGGTCCTGGGATCGAGCCCCACATCGGGCTCCCTGCTCCTCAGGGAGCCTGCTTCTCCCTCTCCCTCTGCCGCTCCCCCTGCTTGTGCTCTGTCAAATAAATAAATAAAATCTTAAAAAAACCAAACTTGCAGCTTGGCTCATTTTTAAAACCAGCTGAAGAAAGGCATCTGGGTGGCTCAATCTGTTAAGCGACCAACCCTTGGTATTGGCTTAGGTCATGATCTCACGGGTTGTGAAATCAAGCCCCATGTCGGGCTCTGCACTCAGCAGTGAGTCTGCTTGGATTCTCTTCCTCTACCCCTCTCGTGTTTTCTCTTAAATAAATTAATGAAATCTTGAAAACAAAACAAAACAGCTGAGGAAATGGTGCCCCACAAATCAGCAAGATGCTTGGTTGTGAAGTTCTATGTATATCACGTTGCATCTTAATCCACATGAGATAGAATAAGGCATAATAAAAATGAATTTGAAAACTGGTTCTCTTGTGGGCACAAGCTCTGACTGGGCTTGAATGTAGCCCATCGGCTGAGGCTGCTACCTGCCTGGTGCTATGCAAGTCATCACTCTTGCTTTGCGGACAGAGGCCGAAAGCTCAGAGCACTCGGGCCACGTGGTGAGTGAGCGACAGCGAGACCGGGTCCAAACCCGGTGTGTATGGCTTCTGGGCCCTCCCTCCCACATTCACACTGCTGTCCACACAAAGCAGGGCTGTGGATGTGTGTGAAATCAGACGCCCTCTTTCCTACAGCTTCTTTATAAGGTCACAGGGGCAAGGGGCAAGGGGCGGGGGAAAGCAAGCCTTGCTCTGCATGTTCGGGGACAGAAAAAGAGATGATTTGTGGGAGGAGCGTTCCTGCGAAGCTGCGCGGGGCACTGGGGAGCTGGCAGGGATTTGGGCCATGGGGCAGACGCTGGGGCAGGAGTGTTACGAGGACCAGTTAGCAGAGGCTGGTGTAAGAATGGAACCACAAGACAGCACGTTTGCAGCGGCCAATTCAGCATGACGGGAAGCCCGCAGGCCGGGGTCCGGGGACCCGGGGTGGTGGTGGCGGGGGGGGGGGGGGGGGGCGCCGCAGCCTTGGGGGGACTCACAGGATGAAGGTGCGGGGTTTCTGGAGCCGACTGAGGGACTGGAGAAGCCTACGGGGGTCCTCACCCTGCCAGGGCAATCCTTTGATGGTCTTGATGATTTGATCATGCAAATCGCTGAGGGGGGGGGTGGGGGGGTGCAGTGACAGGGAGAAGACCGAGTTAGAGCAGCAGGCCCGCCACCTTGGGGTCCCCAGCACGGTCGGGACCATCCCCAGGCCACTGGAACCGAAACATGCAGCTGGGGAGTCTGCACGCCACTGTCTCTCTCCCGCCTGCACCAAGAAGGGGGTTCAGCCAAGAGCGGCTAGCCACCCCATGGAGGCTCCCCCTGCTCTGGGAGGGCCAGGCCTGTTGCAGGCCTGGTTTTGCATCCCGGCCTCTCAGATCACTGAAAAAGGCCTCCTCTAGAACAGCCCTCTGGAATCTGTAACAAGCATCGAGGGCTACTGAAAAGAGACCAGAGGGTGCCTGTGGGACGCAGCTCATCAGTTTTTCTGGTTGATTCTGGGGCCACATGTCAAACTCCTTGTCGGCTTCAAGAAAGGCCTCAGGAGGAATGATGGGAACTCACACCGTGGCCCTCCACCGGGGGCGATGCTACCCTCCAGGCGATGTCTGGAGACATTTGTCGTTGTCATGACTGGGTGGGGGGGTGCTGCTGGCATCTGGTGGGTTGAGGCCAGGATGCTGCTCAACCACTACAGGGCCAGGGACGGTCCCACCACAGAGGGGGAACCCGGCCCAGCGCTGAGGGTGGAAAACCCTAGCTGAAGGAGGGCTTAGCCCCGAAGAATTCAATCTCCTTCACTTCCTTTTGCTTGATCACCGTGGGTTCAGGGCTGAGCATACGTCCTAGGCCCAAACTTTGGCACCAACGCGTGAGAACAAGAATGGGTCAGAGATGAAAATCAGATGCTCTGGAGGGGACTATTCATGAAGGATGTCTAGATGACAAATGTCCTTATGGAATTTCTAGAAACGAGGCAGCAGTGACTGCAGGGTGAGTTGGGAGGTTCTGGTTTGTTCATTTCTTTTAAAAAATCCCTCATTCCAGTTTTTTCAAGTACATGTTTAAGCTCTGGGCAGTTGGCCTGGAAAGACCCCGATCGGCAGCCCCTCATCTGTGTTCCATGCACCATGCCTGAGGGCGTGGACAGCCGCACTTACCTCTGCTCCCTCGCCCTCCAGGGAGGCACCGAGCAAAGACAACAGAGGGGTCACATTTCACCTCCATACCCTCAGCGGTCAGCGCAGTGGCCAGAGATCCGGACAAGGCCCATGGCCTCAGCCCATGCCCCCTAACCCGGCCAGATCTGGCTAGAGTGTCCCCAGCAGGCCCTGGGGTTCCCCGGCCTGCTGACTCCCACTCCTGGCCCTGGACACCACGCTGAGCGCCTGGGGACAGCAGCTCCTCTTGATGTGCCTCCCTGGTCTTGGGTTCGAAGGCCCTTGCTTCTACTTACTTCTTGCTTTCATAGAAAGCAATGATGTCCTCAAAAGCGTTAATATCGAACTCCTCAGAGCCGTCAAATGAGAAATCTAGCATTGAGCAGCTGAAAGGGAGAATCTGTATAAACTAAACATGCTCCTGGAGTGGGACCCGCAGCCTCGGGGCCAGGCCCTGGGGAGACTGGCATCCCTTTAGCAAATGTGGGTCAGGGGCTACATTCAGTCTTTGGGGGATGGGGACAGGGAACACACAAACAAGTAAAGAGATGCATTCTTTTTCTCTTGCCCCCTTTTGGGTGAAAAAGTGGATTTAAAAATGCACCTTTTACAAGCAGGAAAACGACACACGGTGCTTTCAGACAAATCACTTACGGTCACTTACCTAGGTGCTAGCTCTACCTCGATACATACATGTTTATGAATCTCTTGAAGAACTTTTTACTATGAAGGACTCAAAAATAAAATGACCTTTTCAAGTTTAAATATTGACTAACTTGCTTCTTGGGAATCTGGAGTATCAAGAAGCTGGGAACTTGGCTGCCACAGGGCCTTTGCATGTGCCTCTCCGACTGCTAGCACGCCCTGCCTGCCTTGCCTGGCTCAGCTGGTCTCTTTTCAATACAGCCTGCCTGGCTCTCTCAAGATATCAGAAGTGTCCTTCCTCTGGCTTTGTCATTCCCTTGGAGGTCTGTCCAGTGTGGCCTTTTTTTAACCCCACCTTCCTGGGAGCGCACGCTGCTCACTGTTATACTCAGTGCAAAGTGGGGTACGTGGAAGGCCCTCAGTCATTGCTAGGTGGCCTCAAAATACCCTCATCATCTTGTGTGCAACAAGGCATATTGTGTTTCTGACAGCAAATGAAGGAACTCAACCTATCTGCGTTTGGGCCACCCTGGCCCGGCTAAGGGAGGAAGTGCTCTTAAATCAAGCCTGTTGCTCGGTGCAACCAGTCAGCGGCTCCCTGGCCCCACCCGCCAATGGCCACGGCTGGCCATGAAAAGAATCCTTTGTAAAGTGAGCTGCCAACATCTCCCTAATGCAGATGCCGCATCGAGGCCTGACTCTGTGTGCAGAAAAGCGGCAGCCAGATGCCGTTTGTTTCTGGGTCCTTTTGATTCAAGTGGCTGCTGGGTTCCTTATTCAGGTCAACCCCAACCTGGGTGGAGGGTGGAGGGTTTCTGGCATTGTTTTAAACAATACTGCTGTGTACCAGCTTTGGTTTGGACAAATCAAGGTCTCGCTCACCGGTACAGTTTTTCTGATGGGGTGCTGGTTCCTCTCTGCAGCTCTCCCAGGAGACTGCGGACGCCCGGGCTGTCCGTACCTGCTGTGGACATGGAGCAGATGTGAGTTGGAGGCGGGGGCTGCCTGGGGCCTGGAAAGCCTTTGTCTTGGCCACAGAGGCTTCCATCCTGACTTGAACTCATTTAAAAAAAAAAAAAGACAGAACAGTCTGACACTCAAATTTGGGCAGAGCTGGGAACCATGAAGGGTTTAATCCCCCCTCCTAAGCAACACTATTTATACCTACTTCTCATAAAAGCTTTATTCTTGTTCTGCTTTTAATCAAGGCCCTTTGTGAAATGGAGCCCCGTGGCCTGTACACCTAGAGCCAACCTTGTGGGAGTCACTCAGCCATTCTGGGCCTCAGGTTGTCCTTACGGAAAGACAGGAACGTGCCTTCCTGCCTTGTGAGGATGAGGAGAGTGAATTATATACCCTGGTACAGAAATTCTGTTTGGGACGATCCAAGTTCTGGAGCAACACAGGTGGTGGTCACACGACATGGTGAATGTGCTAAAGGCCACAGAGCTGCACGCTTTAAAACGGACTGAGTATCCCCCTCTCGATGGTGACAGGTGGGCCCCATACCTGCAGCCTTCTCGGCCCTCTCGGCCCGTAGGCGCCCAGCTTCCCGGAGCACAGCCATGGCCCGGATGGCGGCCCGGAGCACCGCCCAGCGGAACACGGCCACGGGATCCATGCCGATGAGCTCCCGCACATAGGAGCTGTCACTGCCCCGAAGGAGGGCCACGATGTCGGGCCGCATGTAGTCCATGTTCTTTTCCCGGAAGTCCTGGTGGGGGAAGGAGGTGTGTGGTCACTTGCCAGTGACTGCCAAGGTCCTGGGAGCCAGCCCGGGAAGGGCTGCTGGTGGGGTGGGACCCATCTCAACAACAGAGGTGAGTCCTGTCCCTGGGGCCTTCGACAGTAAGAGCCAAGGACTTAGGGCCGGGTCTGAGGGCCCCCAGAACCTCGCCCCGTACCACCAATAAAGGAGATGGACCGAGCAGAGGCCAGAGGTTAAGGGGCCTCCGGGGCATCCACCCTGTCCCCTTCCTGCCTCCCACCCTTGACTGATGATGGCAATGGACAGACACGTACCTTGATTTGATATTTCACCTTCCCTGCGAAGTGCTGAATGATGAATGCCGGCTCCATGACGGGGGTGCCAAGGAAGTACCTGTTGTCTTCGTGCTGCTGTTTGAACTTGGCCAGCAGGGTCTGGCTCGTGGCATGGGGAAAGCTGGGAAGAGAATTTGGAACTTTCAGCTGCAGGAACAGCGGCGACCACTCGCTCTGCATCCGGGTGCAGGCCCTTGGTGGATGAGGACTGGGCCTTCGTGGTCAAGGCAAACATCTGGCACAGGCAACACTGGGAACTGGGCCCACTATGGGCAGCTCCCGGGAATAATCCCAGGATGGGGGGACTTCTGGTCTCAGATCTGTTGTGTATCTGGATGCTGTGTCGTGGGGGGGGGGCCTTGCCCTTGCTCCTCTGTTACAGAGAGGGGCTGGGAGAGGAGGATGGAGCATGGAAGGGGGTGAGGGCAGAATAAGAGCCCCGTTGTACCTGGCTATTTCTGCCTCCCAGGAAGGAAATGCTGCAGTTGGCTTTGGCATGCCCTGCCTCACCGCAAACACAGGCAGAGCAATGCGCCTGTGATGCCCAACAGCAGGCTCCACAGACTAACGGGGATGGGGTGGCGGAGGGGGAGAATCTGTAGCTACCAAGCACACTGTTTCCAGGGCTGGGGAAAGGGTGTGGAGTGAGGAATCTGCTCACTCAGTCGCTGGGATAAATGCCATTTTAACGCACTATTTTAGAAAATCCAGATTAATGCAAAAAAAAAAAAAAAATCCATGATGAACAAAAATAGCAAGATTTTAAACAAAGACAGATACAACCCTGCTCAGCCCGGCCCTGCCTCACATTCCTCCTCCGGATCCAGCTCTGGGTTTCCTGGGAGTGACAGGTTAACCCTTCCTAGCAGCCTGCCTGTCTTCTTATCTCAACGTTCTCTACTTGGATCCCAGCTATGAATGGATGTGTCTGTCCCGTCTCGGGCGGGGCCTGGGTCTGAGGCAGGAGAGGATCCTGATTCAGCCCAGCCCCACAGGGACTTCCGAAGCAGACGAGGGGCAGATAAAAAGTTGTTGATAGAAAGATGTGTCCACATCCTGACCCTGGGAACCTATGAGAGTGACCTGATTCAGAAATAGGGTCTTTACGAATGTAATTAGTTAAGATGAGGTCCCACTGGGGAGGCATTCATCCAGTGGATTGGAATCTTTATGAGAAGAGGAGATGAGACAGAGATAGAAGAGATGGTGATGTAACCACAGAGGCAGAGACTGGGGTGATGCAGCCACAAGCCACGGAACGCTGGGGGCCCCCAGGAACTGGAAGAGGCGAAGAAGGACCACCGCCTAAAGCCTCTGGAGGGAGTGCAACCCTGCCCACACCTGGATTTCAGCCCAGTGATACTGATTTTGCAAGTCTGGCCTCCAGGACCAAGAGAGAATACATTTGTTGTTTAAAGCTGCCTGTGCTTTGTGGTCATTAACGGAGCCGCAGGTTAACAAATTCAGTGAGCGAATTTCAGTGACCGCGGCTGGGTGACCAGGGGTAAGGCACTTCATCCATACCCCTTCCAGCCTTCACGGTGTCCTCTGGACGAGGGGTGCCAGGCTCAGTGGTCAGTGTGGCGCGTCTGGGCCCCCGATCCCATGTGTTGCCCTTTGCAAGCATGCACCAACCCTGTGCCCAGTTCCTAGACTCAGGCCCTGTGTCCCTTTCTTAACAACTCCCGGGTGTGCGTGTTTCAGAATTGAGTTATCGCACGTGTTAATACTTCCGTGATAAATGCTACGTGCCCTTTGCGAACGTGAGGTCAGGATTTGTGGCCAAATGAGTGTGACAAACTCAGAAGTTCTTGGGGATGGTGTGGATTCAAGGCGAGGCTCCAGGGGCTAGGGAACCATGTTTGCAGGGGGAACTGGGCCGTGGACACTCACTTGCTCTCTTCGTCCAGCAGATAGAAGAGCCCCGTGGGCTTCTTGCTGATGAGATGGATGCAGCCGACGTTATCAGTGTAATCAATGTTGTGCCATGAGATCCCTTCGCTCTGGTACTCCTCCTGTAGGGTGTAGGGCTTAGCTGGTAATCTCACTACCTCGTGGCTATGTTATCGTTTACACAGCATGTGGTGTATATGAATATACGGATGCACGTACGTATTCGTACATACGTGTGGAAATAACAGAACATGTGTTGATATATCAACGGAAATATATTCATAATTATATAAAACTATTAATAACAGGAAAAATTATTAATAACAACAGGAAACAGTACATGCTTAACCATCAAACATACAAGATGCTTAAAATCACACTTAATGTGTCCCAGGGGCCAGCAATCTTTCTCTGTAAAGGGCCAGATGGTAAATAAAGCTTTATGAGCTAGATCATGTCTTGTCACGATCCTGCTGTGGTAGCATGAAAGAGGCCATCGACGATATATAGACAAGTGGGCGTGGCCACGTGCCAATAAAGGTTTATTAACAAAAACAGGTTGTGGGGCCAGACTGGACCTGTGAGCTGCCATTTGCTGGCCCCTGCTCTGGAACCTCAATGTCCAATAATGCAAGTGATATAATGCCAGGTAGTGAGTGTGCCCTATGTAACTTTGAATTTTCTAATAATCACAGTTAAAAAGGTAAAAAGAAACAGGTGAAGTTAACTTTAATAATATAGTTAATTTAACCCCAATATATCCAAACTATGATTGCGTCAACATGTGATTAATGTAAAATAATCAATGAGGAATTTTATATTCTTTTTCTTTTGCATGATGTGTTGGTAATCCACTGTGTTTCACTATTGCCACACAACTCAATGTGGACCAGCCACGCTTCAGGGGCTCAACAGCCAGAAGGAAAGTTTAATAGTCAAATCAGCTAGATATTTATATAAGCCCACCATTTTTTTTTTTCCTGTCCAAATCATCAATGTGACGGATAATACAAGGGTAAAGACGGCTGTGTGTATAGTAGTGAGGAGACACGGAAGACAGATTGTCAAAATTGTTGACCAAAGCAAATCCTTACAAGGCAACTCCTTTTCTCTCCCATTGGATGGATTTTCACATTTGAGCAGAAAGAAGGTACAAAATTGACCCATGGACAAACATGCCCCCAATGGCTGCCTCATCCAAGCCGGGGCCAGGTTTTCCCAGACTTTCTCTTCTGTAGAGAAAGATTCCAGGGCTGGTTCACCAGCAAACCGGACCCCGAGGGAGACCCCGGGGGATCTGGATCGTGTTGCGGATTACGGCTCATTCCGCCCCACGTTGGGCTGCCTAGGCAACAGATGGCATTTCCTTACCTGTTCTAGTTTGAAAATGTGCTGGTTGAAGTAATACTGAAGCTGCTCGTTGGCATAGTTGATGCAGAACTGTTCAAAACTGTTCCTCTCGAAGTCTTCAAATCCGAATATGTCGAGGACCCCAATGGACAAGCACTGGCAAGACACAGAAAACGGTTATTACTGCTCCTGTGGAAGTGACCTGTTTGGTTGTGCGGGCTCTGCGCTCGGCTGAACACTCTGCTGTCACTGCCTTGGAATCTGTAATACGTGAACAAGGGACTCCGTGTGTTCACCGTGCACTGGGTCCTGAGAACTGCGCCCCATCCTGTTCCCTGGGCCTGCCCCTCGGAGCAACCGGCCTCTCCCCTGACACCAACCAAAGCCACCTTGGCTTCTGACATCACGGGCCATCTGCCGACGGTGTGTGACACCGAAGGCCTGGCCTTCCCCAGCTCTGCTTGGTGGAGCAGACAGGGGTGGGGGCTCTCACCGAGACAGACTCTTCCATGTCTTTCTTGTTGAGGAGGGCATGGTTGATCCGCAATACGATCCAGTCGAACAGAGCACTGTACAGGGACTTGGCCATGGAGTCGCGGGCGGTGATAGCCTGCGGGCACAGGGTGGAGAGCGTCACACCTCGACAACGTGGGCCCTGTGCTGCACCACCCAGAGGTCCGCACTCACAGGAAAATCGAGGCTGTGACTTTGAACGCCCCACTCACTGGACACACCCCCTCTTACTCTGCACGCCACCTGTCAGCTCGGGATGCCCCTGCACACCGAAGCACGAACTATGAAGCTCGGACCCAGCAGCCTAAGGTTCAGCGAAGTCTTTCTCACGAGCCAGCCCATTCCTCAGAGCAACCTGGGGATGCTGAGGATGGAACACAGGCTCAGGGAGGGTGCCGGGCCGGCCCGTGGGAAGAACCAGCCAGGAGGCCGAGCTGGGTGGGAAGCCAGGTAGGTCCCTTGCAGCTCTGGGAGCATCGTGGAGATGTCATCGTGCGCATGAACGCAGTAATGGTTTTTAAATTAAAAAAGAGGCTTACGGAGGTCTAATTTACATACAAGAAATTGTTTCCTTTATGTACTCAGATCTAGGCTGTGACAGATGTGCTTGGCTACAATTCAGATCTAGAACACATGTCTTGGTTTTGCCTTTCCTGGGAGGTTGTGGAAAGGGGGCCCCGAGGGATACAGAACCCTCACACCTGGCATCTGTCCCTCGGTGTCCCGTCCCTCAGGGGCAGCCAAGCTGCTGGGGGCTCAGGTGTCCTGTGGCAACTTTTACAGAACATTTCAGGGGACCTTTGCCTGTGGGGGCTCAGAACGTACATGGTGCCCATTGAAGATGCCCAAGCAGTTTCTACCACCAGCTAAAAATCCCTGCCATGGCTAGGCATTTTCCTGTGGCCATCCAAGCTGCAAGCTGCGAAGCCCACTGCTCTTGAGATGTAAAAACGCAAGAAAAACCCAACACAAGGAAAACATCCTGGCTGGGGCAAAGGCCAGAGAGAGGTGTCCTATCAAGATCCAGGGACGCACTTAATGGTCGTAAAGGTCATACACTAGCCTGGGCAGGGGGGTCAACAAACTTTAAAGGCCAGAAGGTCAGTATGTTCAGCTGTGAGGGCCAGATGGTCCTGTCATGATCACCTGGTTCTGCCAACACAGCAGCAAAGCAGCATGTAAAAAAAGGGGGGGGCGTGGCTGTGCCAATAAAACTTTATTTACAAAAGCAGGCAGTGCGCTGGATTTGGCCTGCGGGCTGCAGATAGCCATCCCCTACTAGTGAGAACTAGCACAGAAACACCGAGCAGAACACGTGTGGCCTGAGTTCTGGCCCTAGGGCTGAAGTGTGCTGTAGAAGCTGCTCTGAGCTGTGCTTGAGCTCACGTGAGAACCAGAGACAATGTCACAGCTTTTCAAGACAGGGAAAAGGCTATCTAGGCCGGCTGTTTCCAGAGCCCCCCCACCAACTTGTGGTTTGCAGCCCGGCGCCCCATGAGAGCCCAGGGTGGTGCTCACCTCGCTGAGACTATAGGGAAGGATGAGTTTGTCATTGGCTGTCACCGTTTTTCTTTTGGTCAGGACCTCCACCAAGATTTCTCGCTTCACCTGTTTCGAGGTCGAGGAGGGAGAGAAGGCTTGTTGGGCAGGTCCTCATATTCCTGAGGTAGGGCTGGAAGCCCGAGAAAGGTGGCAGGAGGACTTCCAGCAGCCGCACCAGGAAGTGGGACCGAAGCCCACCGCGTGATGTGTGCTATGCTCAGTGTGTTTCCGAATCATCACACTCACAGGCTCGGTCGATGGCCCTGGGAGGACGGTCACATAGGCCTGGGGGTCCCTGTGGGCCCGTGTGCTGCCTGGCAGCCTGCATTTATAGACGTCGCTGTTGGAGTGGGTTCCTGGCCTGTTCCCTCCTGACTGCCAAGCCCTCTTCACAAGCCAGAGGCAGTCAAGAGTAGGGGCCAGGGAAGCTGCCTGAATCTCCTGGCAGGTGTGCTTACTCATCCCCACAAACACAACAGAAGCCAGGCTCCTGCATGCAGGCACATGCTCTTTAAGAGCCACAGGTGGAATGTATGCTTAGAAAACAGAAAGATGAGGGGAGGACTTCTCAGATCTGGCCCCATGGACACTCGGGGCCGGATCATTCTTTGCTGTGGGGAAGCTGTGTTGTGCATTATATGACAAGTAGCATCCCTGGCCTCACCCACTACATGACAGTAGCTCTTCTGGGTTGTGACAACCCACAGATGCCTCTGGACACTGCCCAGTGCCCCCTGGGGGTTGACAAGTGCCAGTGGACAACGGGATGGCAGGTCCAATGAGCATATGACCTCGCTGATCAAAGTATGGTTTCGAAGGGCCTTTCACATGAGGGGCTGAGACGGGGTGCAGCTGTGCTCAGGAGGGCGTCCTTGAGAAAGGAGGAAGGGATAGAATGCCCTTGAGGGCATTATGCTAAGTGGAATAAGTCAGAGTAAAACAAGTATGATCTCACTGGTATGTGGAATCTAAAAAAACCAAAAAAAAAAAAAAACCCACAAAAAAAACAAAAACCAAAACCCAAAACACTCACTCACACACACACACACACACACACACACCCAAACCAAAAAAAAACCCCTCCCAAAACCCCCCAAACTAAACCAAGCTGACAGATACAGAAAACAGATTGGTGGTTGCCAGAGGCAGGGGACGAGGGTGGGTAAACCAGGTTATAAAGAGGGTCAGAAGGAACAGACTTCTAGTTATAAAATAAGTAAGTCCCAGAAATGTCATGCCCAGCACGGGGACCTCAGAATACCATATGGCATAACTCCAAGTCACTGAGAGTAGATCTTCCAAGTTCTCATCACTCGAAAAACCCGATTCTGTAACCATGTGTGGTGACAGATATTAACAGGACTTACTGTGGTCATCATTTTGCAATATAGACAAATATTGCTTTTGACGATCATTCTGTCATAACGCCAAAACTAACATAAGGCTGTATGACGATTATACCTCAATTAAAAAAAAAAAAAAAGAAAAAGAGAACCAAGGAAGAGGTGTTGCACAGATTGTGGGGAGGAAGCGGGCAGACAGACCCCGGTTTATAGAAGCGAGGCCCATATAGGAAGTTCTGGGTCCTCGCTGGCTACCATGGCCGAGTGCAGGGAGCCGTACCTTCAGGAGCTGGGACAGCGTGTCCAGCACTTCGGGGGGCCCGACCTCTAGACCTTCGTCTCGGCCCGTGGCTCTCTTCTTGTACGTGACGTTGCCCAGGTACAGGATGGCTGAGAGGACGGAAAAAATCCTGGGAGAGCAAAGGAGCCTAGGTTGGGGTGGCTTCCAGAGTCGTAAGATGACAGAAGCTTCCAGCCGCTTGGGCTGAATTCATACAACCAGCCAAGTCCAGTCAGACATATGAAGTTAAAAAAGGTCCAGGGCGCCTGGGTGGCTCAGTTGTTAAGCATCTGCCTTCAGCTCAGGTCATGATCCCAGGGTCCTAGGACTGAGTCCTGCAGGAAGCAGGAAGCCTGCTTCTCCCTCTCCCACTCCCCCTGCTTGTGTTCCCTCTCTCTCGGTCACTCTCTCTGTCAAATAAATAAATAAGTAAATCTTAAAAAAAAGGTCCGATGTCACTGCTGGGGACCCTTTGTGGAATGTGATTTTGTAGACAGATGGCTGACCTGGGTGGTTTTTTTTTTTTTTTTTTTTTTTTTGGTGAGGGGAGTGCTTAAAAATTTTTTTATGGGAGCCTAATATGCATGAGAAAAAAATGCAAAAGAAAAAAAAAACCCCAAAAAACCTGCCAGGCATAAAAAACAGGCAGAAAAAAGCACACAATTCTTAAGCATATTTTGATAAACTGTCACAAAACATACACCTCCCTGTAATAACACTCAGAGCAAGAAATAGAACATTCCAGGCACTGGAACCCACCCCAGCTCCTGCAGAGGAACGGCTATCCTCGCATCCTAACGCTGTCCATGAACTTGATGTCAGTGAAATCATATGTACTTGCATCTGGCCTGTCACTGGAAGACTGTGGCATGGGGGTGCTATGTACGTTCCTGTGTGAACTGGCATGGCCATACTCAATGCTGCAAGCCAGCATTTCTTAGCCTCGGCCCCGCGGACTCATGCGGCCAGATCACTGCTGCGGAGGGCTGTCCAGTGCACTATGGGATGCTGAGCTGCACCCCTGGCCCCTGCCCATTAGGTGCTAGCAGCTGTGTCCCTCTCCTCCTTCCCCTACGCAGTGTGGTGATGAAACATGTCTCCAGACATGGCCAGCTGTCCCGTGGGGGCAGAAGTGACTCCAGCTGAGCACCACTGCTGTGCGTGGAGTCCAGGGAGTGGCACTCTATGGCCCATTACTGGACAGCCTCGGAGCTAAGAATGGTTCTTCAGTTTTTTTGCGGGGGCGTTAAAACAGTAAGCATGGAGAAGAACACACAACAGTGACCATCTGGCCCCTGAAACTGAAAATTGGACTATCTGGCCCTTTACAGAAAGTCTGCCCAGCCCTGCGTGAAATGAAGCTGTTCGTTTATTTTATTTAATTCCCGCTGGTGAGCATTTGTGTGTGTGTGTCGGGGGGGGGGTTCCTAATTTTTGGCAGTAAATAATAAGGCTGCCATGTGCGTATCTCTGAGTCAGCACACGCACGCATGGTGTTGGGCAGACACAGCTCTCGTAGAAACTGCAGACGGTTTTCCAAAGGGGCTGGCCCAATCTGTGCCCTCCGAGAAGCGTGCAGGCATTCCCGCTGGGCATACCAAACATCGGGCAGGTGTGGCAAGGACGCTGTGCGGCTTTCAAAAAATTTTTCAAAATTTTAATTGTGGTAAGGTACACATCATGTAAAATTCACCATCGTGACCATTTTTAAGCGTGAGGTACATCTGCACTGTTGGGCAAAAGCCCCGTGGTTTGACATCTCCCAGTGACTAATGACTAACGTCCCTTTTCATGAGCTCATGCTCATTGGGCTGCCCTTTTTTTTTTTTTTTTAAGATTTTATTTATTTGAGAGAGAGAATGAGAGACAGAGAGCGCATGAGAGGGGGAAGGGTCAGAGGGAGAAGCAGACTCCCTGCCGAGCAGGGAGCACAATGCGGGACTCGATCCCGGGACTCCAGGATCATGACCTGAGCTGAAGGCAGTTGCTTAACCGACTGAGCCACCCAGGCGCCCGGGCTGCCCTCCTTTAGTGTCTTAGCTCCCACTGGGGTGTCAGTCAGCTCTCAGAGAGGGGCCTTAGGTAAGATGTGTGTCTCCTCCACGCAGGAGAAGGTGGGATGGCCGGCCCGCCCACTTACTGCTTCTTGGTGGCTGGGAGGAAGCCCACCATCTCCATGGCCTGCTTGAGTCTCTCAAAGTCATGCTTTAGGTCTTCTCCATCTTCGATCTTCAAGTTATGCTGAAAAACAAAATCAGTGGTACTCTGGGTATTTCTGGGCTGGCGAGGGTGGCGTGCAAGAGTGATTTTGGCTGGAACCGAGGGGGCAGGGCTCAGGACACGGGGAATGAATGGGCCCCTTTATGCCGCCTTCTCTGGGCCTCCTTGGAGTCGGTTTGGGGGCCGGAGAGGGCCCAGGCAGACAGCCTCTGACCTCCCGGTAGCGCGTAAACAGCTGTGGGGAACAGAGGCGGCGTTTGTGGCCAGGACACGGGGCTGTTTACCTGGTTGAGGTAGAAATAATCTTCAGGCTGCTTGAGCTGAAATTCTTGACGCTCTTCCTCGCTGACGCCAAGTAACAAATAATAAAACACGTGGTAGTTCCTGTGGGTCAAAACAAGGAGAAAAAATTTGTTTTTGGAGACCACACGATAGCTACTCTTCAAACCACTGCTAATATTGCTTTGGAGCCCACACTGGGGGGAAAAAAAGCACCTCAAATATGTACCAATTTGAGACAATAAGTCGATTCTAAAAACCAAACGCTGAGCTTCTCCGGTGAGTAGATGTCTGTGGATGCGGGGGTATTACTCTGGGTAAAAGCCTGGGGTAGGCACAAAAATAAGCCCAAAAAAGGTGGTTTAGGAGGTATGAGCGCAAAGCTTGCAGCCACAGAGCAGCCTCGATCCTGGGAGATCAGCCACGGCCTCCTGTCGGCCCAGGACACCTGCTTCTCTCCTTTGTGGGGAAGAAAGCAGATGTGATGGGTCACCAAGGAAATTTCCTCCTACCTCTCATCCTTCTCTTGAGAGACCAGGCGGGACTTTTCAAGCAGGTATTTTTCGACAACAGCTCTGTCATTAGAAGGAAGATGAAAGAATAAGATGTTAACATTTTGATAAGAGTTTTCTGGAAGAACTAATTTGTTACCATAATAAAGCCAGCTGTGGATTAACTTCCTTTGATACAAGGTAAACACAGGTACCTAAATCACCTCTAGGAATACGGGACGCCGGGGTGAGTTAAGTTAAGCATCGGGTCAGTTAAGTATCTGCCTTCGGCTCAGGTCATGATCCCAGGGTCCTGGGATCGAGCCCTGAGTCAGGGTCCCTGCTCAGCAAGGGAGTCTGCTTCTCCCTCTGCCTCTGCCCCTTCCTCCTGCTTGTGCTCTCACACTCTCTGTCTCAAATAAATAAATAAATAAATAAAATCTTAAAACAACAACAAAACAACAAAAAAAGAAATATAATCATCCTAAATGTCGCAGATACAACCAATTTAAATGTTGCAAATATAATCAGTCTAAGTGTTGTAAATATAACTACCCTAAAAATCACCCTAAGTCTTGCCTTATTCTATGACTGCCGTCCATAAAAATAAGGAACTCAGGTCGGCCACTTCTGCGCCCCAGACCAGATGCGGGCTGATCATTGCTCGGCAAGCTCAAGGAGCATCCTGGGGGAACCCCCTCAGGCAGCGGGAACCCGAGTGATTATACCCATGTTTTCATGGACAATATAGAAGGTCACCCCTGCATTCACCACCTCCTCAGCAATTAAATGCTTCTCCCATTAAAAATCTAAATATAAGCTAACAGGTTCATTTTCTATTTTTTTTTTTTTTTTTACAGCTTCACTATTGATATAAACCACACATTCTTATTTATTTATTTGACAGAGAGAGAGACACAGCAAGAGAGGGAACACAAGCAGGGGGGAGTGGGAGAGGGAGAAGCAGGCTTCCCACTGAGCAGGGAGCCCAGTGCAGGGCTCGATCCCAGGACCCTGGGATCACGACCTGAGCCAAAAGCAGATGCTTAACCACTGAGCCACCCAGGCTCCCCCAAACCACACATTCTTAAAGTGTGCAACGTGGTGAGTCTTGACTGGGTCCTTTCCTATTTTGTTCCACCAGCTTTACTAGCTGTCACTGACGTAAGGTAAACTAGAAGCGTGTGAACTGATGAGTTGTGACACATGCAGACATCTGTGTGCCCACCACCATGACCCAGCTTCCTGGGCCCTTGGTCACCCCTCCCTGCCACCCATCCCCAAGTGGCCACCGATCAGCCCCACTACAGATTAGTTTGCATTGTCTAGAATTTTAAAGAAATATAATCCTTCGGTATATACACTGTCTGCCTTGTCACTCAGCCCGAGAACTCTGAGATTTAGCCACATTGTAACGTGTATCGGAACTCCGTCCCTTCTCGTGGCTGGACACAGCACATCATGTCGACCCGTTCATCCAATGACGGATGTTTGCTGTCAGGGGTCCACAAGACTGGACGGCCTCTGGGCCAGGGGTCAGAGACCTCTACAGCCACACTCTCAATGCTAGCAGTGGTTAATGGTGACTATTCCTTGAGCATCTAGTGCCTTTTCAGGAATTAAATGCCCTGAATCCTTCCACCCTGGGGGTGGGCACAGTGGCTCCCACTGAAAGATGAGATACTGAAAACTGAAGAGGCCACCTGCTGCCTACGACCCCACGGGAGGGAAGTGGCCTGGCAGGGACCCGAGCCAGGCATTGGCCCTGCTCCCTCCACACCCACTGAGTTCCACCAAGTGTGGGAGCTGGATGGCTTTGCAGGCTACCCTCATTTGAGTGCATCCTGTTTTAAAGGAGGGGCAGCTGGTGACCAAGGCGGGGGCAGACCTGGGGGACAGCACTGGGCCCCTGGTCTGGGGCTTGCTGGATGCTACCTGTCTCTCTCTCTCTCCAGGACGGCAGTCTCCTGTCTGCGGCCTCGCCTGGGACACATGCACACAAAACAGGCACGGGCGGGTGTCCACGGACTCGGCCTGTGTCCTCTCTTCTTCCAAACTCATATGTTTTTTTCTACTCCTTCCCCCTGCTAGTAACTATTTTAGTTATCGGTGGCTTGTTCTCCTAGGGAGGGAGGCCGCATCTGGTTCTAGAATCAGACTCCTGTTAGAATCTCCACCTGTGGGGCGCCTGGGTGGCTCAGATGGTTAAGCGTCTGCCTTCGGCTCAGGTCGTGATCCTGGGGTCCTGGGATCGAGTCCCGCATCGGGCTCCCTGCTCAGTGCAGAGCCTGCTTCTCCCTCTCCCTCTGCCATTCCCCCTGCTGTGCTCTTCTCTCTAACTCTCTGTCAAATAAATAAATAAAACCTTTAAAAAAAAAAAAAAGAATCTCCACCTGTGGCCAATTCCCTGTGCTGTGTCAGCAGTGGGGGGGGGGAGAAGGAGAGTGACCCCTTACTGGCATCGAGCTGCCATTTGATGATGCCTTTCCCTGACCATTTTTAAGGCCCCGGCCTCTATTGGGGTTCGTAGGGGGGGCCAGGGATCCCCCGGCACTGAACCACTGAACCCACAGGAAGATGAGGCCTTGCAAATTGGGGAACTGAAGGAAGGTTTGGACTGCCCCCGACCCCTGGCCTCCACAGGAAATGGCACTGAGAAGTGTCACCTCCCCAAAAGCAGAACCGGGTCTGGGCCTGCTCTTCCCCAGCTGGCTGTGGCCACTCCCTGGACAGGAAGTGCACCTCCCCCTCGGAGAGTGGGCAGGCCACGGTCTGAGGTGGGACTTCCTTTCCTGAGTCTGAGGCCACAGACGCAGGACTTTCAAAAGTTGGTCTATAAGACTCAGCCACCCAGGGCCTCTGGCCCAGAGCCTGATGGGGGGCTGTGGCCGGCAGAACAGGCTACACCGGATAGCTGAGGGCCAACCCCTGCTGGCACACTGGGTCACATGGTGGCCCCCAGAAGATGTGACTGTGACCTTATTTGGAAAAAGGGTCTTTGGAGATGTAATTAAGGGAAGGCACCTGGAGATATGATCACCCTCCAAGATCAGGGTGGACCCTAAATCCAAGGACAAAGTCCTAAGAAGTAGAAGAGAACACCGAGACACAGAGGAGAAGACCACGTGATGGTGGAAGCAGAGATTGGGGTGATGTGGCCACAAGCCAAGGAAAGCCTGGGGTCACCAGAAGCCGCAAGAGGGTACAAAGAATCCTCTCCTGGAGCCTCCAGCTATCCTGCCTACGTCTTGATGTCGGGCTTCCAACCTCTAGCACCATGAGCCAATAAGTTCCTGTTGTTCTGAGCCCCCCGTTTTGTGGCACTTTGTTCTGGCAGCCCTAGGACACCAAACAGACCACACAGAGGAGCAAGCTGGGAGCAAAGGCTCCCCATCTGGCCCACGGCTGCAGAGCCAGCCTGGGACCCGGGAAAACATGAGGCAGCCTTTTGGCATCTCTGCACCCCTGAGGGAGCCCCCAGAACTGTAGATGGGGTATAATTCTGTGTCCTGTGCCTGACAAGATACTCTGGGCATCTCCTGCTGGTCAGAGGCCCCGCAACATGGACAGGGGGTGGCGATGCCCATGCAGCTGCCCTGCAGCACTGAGCTGGGGGGACCGCTGGATGGTCTGTGAGGGGCTGAGGGGCCAGAGCAGAATTGCCATTTATTGTGGGGCCTCTGCCCCAGACCATTGCCCATTGGAGCCTGGGCAGTGGGAAAAAGGAAAGACGCCAGAGGCCGAAGGATTCGAGAAAACAACATTCCTATTTGTGTCTTGAATATGAATTGTCATTTGAAATGATCATCAGTCAGGTAAGATGGACAGAGGAACTGACATACTTTGGACTCAATCCCTAGGCCCCGCCAGTCGAGGACTTCTCCATTCCTGAAATGCTACAGCCTTCTCTAGGACTCTAGCCCTGTTGCTCAGGTCTCCCCCCCATGTCGAGCATTTGGGCCACTCAGAGCATCACCTGGAACTGGTATAAATCCTGCTTCTACCACAGACCCTCGCACCAGAATGTGGAGGCAGGGATGATCCCTTTGAGTAACCCTGGACTATGCCAAGATGCCTTTTTTTCTTTTTTTTTTTACTCTGAAAGAGTTTTACTGGCTCATAAGACCTTTGCATATTAAAAAAAAATACCCAATACATTATGCAGTATTAAATCACAATTACATTTTTTAACCAAACTGTAACTAGCCAGAATATGTACTTTTTAAAGAGAAAGAAATGCTACAGAACCGAATTCTGAAAACGACATTATGACTTAAATACTGTGACAAAATAGGTAATTCCTTGTAACATTAATTCACCTCACAGAGCTGCCAGTTTCTTTTTTTTTTAAAGATTTATTTATTCATTAAAGGCAGACAGAGAGAGAGAGAGAGAGAGAGGCAGAGGGAGAAGCAGGCTCCCAAGGAGCAGGGAGCCCGACGCGGGACTCGATCCCAGGACCCTGGGATCATGACCTGAGCCGAAGGCAGACGCTTAACCATCTGAGCCACCCAGGCGCCCAAAGCTACCATTTTCTTAAGCATAACTACTGCACAGAGTAACAAACACAATTTCAGTGTTATATATTTAGTTGAAGTGACTGTGCCTCCACCTAAGGAACTCGCATTTCTGGCACAAAATGCTGGTCTGTTTTAACTTTCACCAATCAACTTCACAATCCAGTTACCACCTACCCACTCACGCATCTACCTAATCCATTCATCCATCCATGGATCCATCAATCTACGAATTCATCCATCTATGAATTTTCCCATCTAGCAATGAATCTATCCACCTACCCACCCAGTCCATGAATTTATTCATCTATCTACTCACCCACCCACAAATCCATCCATCTACTGACCCAACCATGAATCCATCCATCTATCCATCCATCCACCCACCCACAATTCCATCCATTAATCTATCGTCCCTCCCTCCCATTCACCCACCTGCCTACCTTCAGGACTTCCTTGGACAACCACTTCATTCTGCTACCCAGCCTTATGTCTTCTCCTGGCTAAAGGGGCACATGTTTGGCAACTGCCACAGTCCACATCAACTCTGCCTATGGCATCCCCAGACCCACTGAATTTGAAACCTCATCAAGACCAAGACATAGGTTGGTGTGTCCTTGCCTGCTCTTAGCAAACTCCATCACGCTAGCACCTTCAGGTTGTTGTACTTGCTTCTTGGGCACCTGGGCCCAGGCTCGATGACCTGGGGACAGAGGTCCCGCCCCTCCCACACTTACGCTTCCCACTTTGACCCACAACTCAGATCTTCACATCACTGACTTAAATAAAACCCACACTTGCTTCCCTGTACAATTCACACATATCTGCAGAGCCACAGTTTCCACACTTGAGCTCCCAGGCTGGCTCCTCCCTGCAGGGATGCCCAGGACCCCAGGACCAAGGCCGGTGGCCTGCAGCTAGGCGACTGCCAACTCACCCTCTCACGATGCCACTCTCCAGGTAGTTGACCTGGATGAATTTCCCAAATCGGCTGGAATTGTTGTTGTGGGCCGTTTTGGCATTTCCGAAAGCCTGTGGGGAAAACAAGAGCAGGTTTTCAGGTCGTGAGGATGAAATTTCTACACGCCGCAGCCTGGAGCCTTGGAGGTCCCCCTGGGCCTCATGGACACTCATTTGCCTGAAGTCAGCCAGTGGCCCTGATGAGCCTGGTAAACACAAAGGCGTGTAGTGTAGCCCAGGTGTGCGCCAACATACTTTATTACCTCTGTGTTTGGGTTGTGTGAGGGGTTCAAGTTTTAAGCCTCAGACATGAAAAATGCTAATCAACGGCATTCTTTTTCCGTTATAATTGTTCGGAGGGTGTACTCTGGTCCATGGGCTAAAATCCAGTCTGTTGCTTATTTTGTATTGCCTGTGAGCCAAGAGTGGTTTTGACATTTGTAAATTGCTCAAAAAAAAAAAAAAACCAAAAAACCCCAAAAAACAAGACTAGTACTTCCTGACACATGAAAATTCTATTCATGTTTCAGCGTTCATAAACGAAGTTTTACTGGCACGAAGCCAAGCCTGTGCATTTATGGATTGCCCATGGCTGCTTTCTTACTCTAGCAGCAGAATACCCATGATAGAGACCGTTCTGGCCTGCAGAGCTGAACATATTCACTGTCTGGCCCTTTCCAGAAGAAGTCTGCTGTGCCCTAAGCTGATGCGGGCTCTGGGCCCCAGGAGAAGAGGAGGCTGGTTGGGAGGGAGCAGATGTGGAGACAGGTCCCGGCCTGGAGGGCTCCTGCGATTCTGTGGGAGGACAAGCCGGTTCACAACACACTTTTTTTTTTTTTAAAGATTTTATTTATTTATTTATTTGACAGAGAGAGACAGCAAGAGAGGGAACACAAGCAGGGGGAGTGGGAGAGGGAGAAGCAGGCTTCCCGCTGAGCAGGGAGCCCGATGCGGGGCTCGATCCCAGGACCCTGGGATCATGACCAGAGCCGAAGGCAGATGCTTAACGACTGAGCCACCCAGGCGCCCCTCACAACAAATTTTTTGATTGGGGTGACACTGACATAACATACAATTAACCATTTAAAAATAATTCAGTGGCATTTAGTACATTCACAACGTTGTGTAACCATCACCGCTGTTTAGTTCCAGAACATTTCCATCACCCCAAAAAGAGACCCCCATCCCCATCAGCTGTCACTCCCTATCCCCCCTCCTGCCTCCTCCAGTCCCTGGCAGCCACCAGTCTGCTTTCTGTCACTATGGATCTGCCCGTGTGTGATATTTCGCCTAAGTGGGAGCATACATTATGTGGCCTTTTGTCTTGCTTCCTTCACTTAGCAGGATGTTTTTGGGGTTCATTCTCACGGCAGCATGAATCAGGGCTTTATTTCCAATATATAGAGGAAAGGATGCACGGTGCATGGAATCTGTTGACTCAGTGGGGTCCCCCCTGGGCCTCCTGTGTGTCCACAACCCAGATTAAGACAGAGAACACACCCTGCTCAGGGCCTTGGAGTGCCCCTTCTCCATGAAGTATGCAACACCCCTGAAGGGTGAACAGACAGGGAGAGGGTATGATAAAGCCTTGGAGGAATGCAGGGCAGGGAAGGTGCTGGGGGTGGTTTCCCTGTTTCGTGGAGCAAGATGCTGGCAGAGGTGGGAGTGGTGGGGCGGGGCAGAGGAGGGGAGAGAGGCAGAACCCATCACGGAGCCTGGTGCTCAGCTGTCCAAGCCCTTGTGGCTCCAGGGGCCAAAGAAGGAGTGACATGGGGGGTGGGGTGATGCCCTGCTCACACACAGAAAGGGAAGCTTGGTGCCCACGAGAAGGGCCAACAATGTTCCAGTTTGAGAAGGCTGAGCTGTGTGGGAGGCCGTGTAGGTATGAGGGCAGCGGGGAGGAAGTGGCAAGGCCACTGTCAAGGTTTGCAGGGTGGGGACTGAGCGTGGACGTCTGAGGAGGGTCCGGTGGGACAGAGGGAGGAGGGCAGGGTGGGGAGAGATGGCCAGGCCTGCAAGGGACTCAGGATCCAGGGTTTTCTTAAAGGCCTCATTCTGCAGGGAAATGAATGCAGGTGGATCACTGATCAGAGCTTCTGGTGTGGCAATCCGAAGGCAGAAGCCCCACAAAAAAGCGTCTGCTGGGGGGCAGCCCAGGACGCTTCCTTTGAGAACGGCTCCGTTCCGCAGAGCTCGGGACCAGGAAAGCGGCACCTGGCTGGCGGGCGGGGGGGGGGGGGGGGGGGGGAGGGGGTGTCACAGGACAAGAACTTCCTGCCCCACTGTTCCACGGGTGCCAGACCCCAGGAATGGGCCCTGCTGAAGGACCTGGGGCCAAGTCACCCAGCAAGAGTGTACCAATGAAGGAGGAGCCCCAAAGAGGCAACCTGGCCTGGAGGTGCACAGGGGGGGATCTGCTCAGGGCAGGGTGGTGGCCGGGCACTTTCGGTGGGGAGTGGGCGCCACATGGCCTTACGGAGGCAGAACCCAGTGTGAGGAGGTGTATTCCTGAGTCAAGACAGTGGCCACAGAGCCCCCTTCTCTTCTTCACAAATGCTTCCTTAGGACCTGTTGTCCATTGCCAGGTTTTGAAAGTCTCTGGAGAGTTGGATTAAACGCAGGGGCTCTTCAGCCAATGGGAACGACCACGTCCTGCGGTATGTGACGTCCTGTGCACTGTGGGGTCCCGAGCCTCCACCTGCCAGACAGCATCTGCGACAATCAGAAATGTTCCCAGAGCTGGCTGAATTGCTGAGAAGCGCTGCTATATACAGACGGAGGTTAAAGGGGTCTTGTAGGGTTGGGTGGTCAAGGGCTCTGTGGGCCCTTCATCCTGTCGTGAGGACGCCCCTGGGCACTATAAGGTCCAAGGAGTCCTGTGAGGAAGAAAACTGTCTTTCTAGGTTTCATCTCTGGTTTCCCTCAAGTTCAGCCTTGGAACTGTGTTTTTTGTCTGGAGTAAAGCCCGGGGACTCTTGCCGTTCTGCTCCAGGAATCAGCAGGCAACAGGTCCGTTTCCTCCTTTCATTCCGGGCTCATGAGACCCCATGGGGTGCCATCTGAGCTGAGGACAGGCCCGGGCCCTCCCGCTGCTCCGAACTAAAATAAACTCCGTGAGCAAGCCCGCCTGCCTAACTACGAGCAGATGGCGCAGCAATGCCCGAGCCTGTGTGGGCTCCTTCCCCGGGGAACAGGCCTCTCTCTTGTGCTGGGGCCCCTGCAGCATCCAGGTCCAGGGCCTGCTGCAGAGGCACCCCGGCAACGTGCATGCACATCCCAAAGACCCATGGCAGTTCCCCTTTAGAACTCGGGGCAAGACTCCGTGGGATTTCTAAGGAAACAGTCAGGGATGGTGTCTTGGGGACCACAAGAGGGAATGTCTTCGGGATGCGAGGGCCCACCAGCTCTGTGCAGCCCAGGCTTTGCGGGGTCCGCGGGGGGGGGGGGCAGTGACCTCATGCGTCTGGTATGCGGTCTCAGCACACTGCGACTTTTCAAAGCCAGTCTAAAAATATCCGGTTGCTGCTATTATATGTCGGAGGAGGAGGAAACGCTAGCCTGGCGCTCACAGCCAGGGGAGCTATTGTGTAGCTGCTCTGGGGGCTGGACGGGTGCGCACATGGCCTCCGAGTGCATGGGAGTACAAGGCAGGACGGTGTGCCGGGTGATCATGTGGGGCCCGGAGTGGCCGGGAGAGAAGAAGCGGGATCCAGGCGCCGGCAGTGATGCGATGTGATCTGGCACTGGGGCCGCGGAGGCCAACATGTTAATGCTGTCTTCCCACCAGGCCAGAAAAGCCACAGTGCTGGCAAAATGCTATGGGAGAAAGGCCTCTACTTTCCTGGGAACACTTCTTTCCCTTATCTAACATAAAGTACACATTTCTAATATAAGTTACACATTATGACCAAAAGAAAAAAAAAACAAACATTAACAGGGCGCCTGGGTGGCTCAGTCATTAAGCCTCTGCCTTCGGCTCAGGTCATGGTCCCAGGGTCCTGGGATCAAGCTCCCTGCTCCGCGGGAGGCCTGCTTCTCCCTCTCCCACTCCCCCTGCTTGTGTTCCCTCTCTCGCTGTGTCTCTATCAAATAAATTAATAAATAAATAAATCTTAAAAACAAAAACAAAAACACCCCAGAATCATGATAGAAGGAAAAAACCCATAAAGTAGTTCAAAATCCTCCAGCCATGATTTCTAGGTAAAAGGAACAAAGAAGCAACACACCCACCCCTTCCTCTGACTGGGCAGATGATCGTGGGCCCAGGGAGGGCACTGTGTGCCCCTCCTAGGCCACCCCTGACCCTGCTGAGGGTGACAAGAGCTGGGGGGACCTCTGACTTTCTTCCAACTGTCCTTGTCCTTTGAGGTTCTTTTGGGAAATTCAAAAGGGTTTTTTAATTTGGAGAAATTTAGGTTGAGCATCTTACTTAGCCAGAAATTTTAGAAGATGCATTTTCTATCTAAGCAGGTTGCTGCCTCTGCTCTAGGCTGAAATGCATGGTTAACATTTTGGGAAGAATGGTGGTAACATCACAGAATGACCCATGGTGAGTCCAGTCCCATACCAGGTGAGATGGGGCTTCTCTTTCTTTTGCTTCTACTCCTCTGCGAGACAGCTGTGCCCCACTTCAGATGAGGAAACTGAGGCAGAGAGGCCTGCTCACTTCCCTGAAGTCTGAGGGCAGGCAGGAAGTTGACATGACCCTGGGTTTGAACCCAGTGCCCTCACTCCCAGCCCACGCTCCATGCACTGGCCCCTCAGTCCCCACAGCCTGGGACCTTTTGGGGTGCCGGCCTGCCCTGGCTGAGGCCACTCACCCTGGGCCTGGCGACCAGGCAGATGGACGCCTGAGCCCCTTCTGAGCTTACGCCTGGTCTCTTGTACATCCCACACAAAACCAAACAAGCCTTGATGGACTGCATGGGGCAAACTGTTTTGCTTTCGGATTTCAAAACCTGAAAGCAACATGGGAGGAGCTCACGAAGGCAAATGCACTTGCCTTATCTCCCATGTTGACAGGTGAGCCTCGAGTTGGGAATCCCCTGTGGAGAAGTCCCCCAGCCTCACCA